GTGCATATGTTCACACATGTGCATGTGTGAATATGTATGTGTGTGTGGGTATGTGTGTGTGTGTGTGTGCAATTGTTTGGTTGCATGCATGCCTGCATGCATGAGTATATATATGTGTGTATGTGTGTGTATGTATATAGGTATGTTTGCATCCATGCGTGTGCACATGTGTATGTGTTTGCCTGCATGCATGCATGAGAAAGAGAGAGAGAGAGAAAGAGAGAGAGAGAGAGAGAGAGAGAGAGAGAGAGAGGAACCAGTAACTGAATCTTTAGATCTGCAGGGAAGCAGGCACTGCCAAGGGTTATATCAGTTGAAATTTAAAAAAAGTATTATGCTTATTTAAAATTTGGTGTATGTGAATAATAGTGAGTGAGTGAATGAGTGAGTGTGTGTGTGTGTGTGTGTGTACACATTTTTTTTTTCAATGATTTCTTCTTAAATCATTATCATCATTTAGCAAGTCCTTTTGTAGAACATCACTGTCATCATGGTCTGCATGAAAGAAACTCGGTCTCTTGCCAGTTCTCCCGTCTCAAGTATTTCCATATTCTGTGCCCATCTTCTGCTATTATTTTGTTTTCAATCTGTGATGGCACTTGATATTACCAGCATATTTCAGCTTACAATATCAGATGCTATTTATTAACCAATCATCATTGCTGTTCAGAGGAAACCAAGGTCGTCCCAATGAGGGATGCAATTTTTAGTTATTTGAACCCCCACCCTGGCTTTTGATAGCGGCCGCAATACAGCCTGACGATTGAACACCGTTTCTGGTACCTCTCCACAGGTGATCCTCATCGGCATGGTGGCACGCACTTTGTGTCACCGGGTGTTTATCGCTCTGTGTGATGTCCTGGTGGGGTAAAATTTACTTACTTACTTGATGTTCAGATCTCTTAAAATGTCAGTATAAAATAAATATAATATAATAATATAAATATAATAATAAATCTAATACATAATATATTTTCAGGTGGTGAGTATCACATGTGGCTTGCAACTGCAGAGGATTCTGAACCAGCTAATGGAGGAAAGGCAACACTGGTTGTTTATGGTGATGAAGGAAATAGTGGAAATATTGATTTGTTTGCACCAAACAGCACTGCCAAACTGTTTGAACCAGCTAATATTGATGAGTTTGAGGTAAGAAGTCAATTGATGAGCTCCAGACATCAATAGGCAAAGAGAATGTTTTGTGGTAAATCAACTTTCTAACAGATGTTAAATCAGTGTTGATGTTTGAGTCATATACATAGAAAACAATTACTAATTAATTATAGTAAATAACGAAAGACTGACCCTGGATAAGAAACACATTTAGAAAAGACATCGTTAACTTAACTTTAAGAAGAAGAAGAAGTAGCAGCAGCAACATCAATAGTGATAGCAGCAACAGTGGTTCTGAGTTGAAGAGATGGCAGACTTCGCATCGACTATATTACCCCTTGTAGGTTATTTCATTTATTGAAAAACTGGCGCCCTACGTTGAGACTCAAATCAGGAGCTTACCATGGATTTTCTATCAATGACATATTGGTGTACAGCATAGTTAGCAGACTGATAGATTGGCTGGCTGCTGCTGCTCCTCGGGGTGGTGAGCAACTTTATGATAAAGCAGATGGGGTGAAGCCTCTCTAGGACCAGATGGACAGTGCAACATGACAGAAAATCCTTACATTGGAAGGCTAATGTCACTGTAACAGCTAATGTGTGAGTAGAGGTTTCTGAAGGTATTCAACACTGAAGGTGTGAAACATAAGCAGACTTTTAATCAGGCTGCAACTGGTACTATTAGCATGTCAATTCTTTGGCTACTGAGGAAGGAGATGGAGCACAAGTGGCAATGTCCTGAGTGCAGTGAAGTCACTCTTATCCTCTATACTGTTGTGTGTCCTCGAGTGGATAGATGCTTTTGTGATGAGTAGGAGTTTTACTCTCAACACTTCACCTCCACCAGAGATACTGGACTAATATCAGAGCTATGTTGATCTCAGACAAAGTCTTGGATATCCAAGAAAACAGCTATATTTGGCTAGTTGTGTAAATTCACAACAGCTCCCATAGGAGAAGGAGTGGGGTTTTAGATGTCTAGATTAAGTACTGAATTGTTAGACAGGGCAGGTGACCCCTCGCAAAAACCTCCTCCTGGTAAAGAATTATTAAAGAGCCCCCACCAAATGTAATTCTGTCTCACAGTTTAGTTAAATAAATAAGACTAAATACACTTGTATCTGCGTGTGTTCTGTGTGTGTTCTGTGTGTGTTCTGTGTGTGTGTGTGTGTGTGTCTGCATGTGTATTTTCTCTGTGTGTGTCTGCATGTGTGTGTCTGCCTGTGATTATGTGTGTCTGTATGTGTGTATGTGGATGTCTGTGTGTGTGTGCATTTGTCTTTGTGTGTGTCTCTGTGTGTCTGTATGTACGTATGTATGAATGTATGTGTGTATATGTGTGTGGCATGTGTCTGTCCATTTGTGTCTGTGTATGTGTGTCTGAGTAACTGCATGTGTGTGTGTGTGTGTGTGTATGTGTGTGTGTGTGTGTGTCTGCATGTGTTCTGTGTGTGTTTCTGTGTGTTTGTTTCTGTGTGTGTTTGTTGCATGTGTTTGTGTGTCTCTGGGTGTGTATGTCTGTGTGTGTTTCAGTGTGTATGCCTGCATTTGTATTTATGTGTCTGTATGTGTGTCTGTGTGTGTATGTGTTTGTGTGTGTGTCTTTGTTGTGTGTGTTTGTGTGTCTGAATGTGTTTTTTTAACCTCTGTGTGTGTGTGTCTGAATATCTGCATGTGTGTGTCTGCATGTATGTATGTGTGTGTATATGTGTGTTCTGTATGTGTTCTGTGTGTGTGTGTCTGTGTGTGTGTTTTGTTTTTGTGTGTCTAGTGTGTGTGTCTGCCTGTGAGAATGTGTGTCTGTATGTGTGTGTGTGGATTCTGTATGTGTGTGCGTTTGTTTTTGTGTGTGGCTCTGTGTGTTTCTATGTACGTATGTATGCATGTAAGTGTGTATATGTATGTGACATGTGTCAATGTATTATGTATGCATATATGTATGCAGGTGTGTATGTATGTGTGTGCAAGTAAGTGAGTGGGTGTGTGTATATGGGCTGTGTATGCATGCATGAGTGTGTGCATCTATTTTACTATCCATGCTTTTGTGTTTCATTGATAAAATACAACTGCTGTGCAAAAAAACGGGTGCTTGAAAAGGACGAAGGTAAGACGGGCCTGCTTGTCCAATTTTTGACCCTTTGAAAATAAAGTTTGTTTGTTCGTTCATTTGTTCATTCTACAGATCTCAGTCTTTGGTGTTCTGGATCAATTCTACTGATGATATTTTTTTATGCCACAGTCTTAAGCCTTCCACCATAATTTCTCTTGGTTGCCACTGCCTCTTCTACCAGTGATCTTTCCAGCTGTCACAGTATTTTCCAGTGCTCCTTTTTTCACCACATGGCCAAAGAACTTTGTTTGTCTCTTTCTCATTGTGTTATATAATGTTCTACTTTCATTAGCCATTTCCATGCATTTCATTGTTAGTTATTCTAGCTGTCTAAGGTATTTTTAAAAAACACATCTCAGCTGTCTCCAAACTCTTCCTAATTTTTTGCTCACATTCCAAGATTCACTGCCATACAACAGAACATGCAATTTAAGTATGCTAAACATGATTCATTTCAGGTTTCAACAGGAGATATTGGAGAGATCTATAAGATTAGAATTACCAGAGAAGACAAGGCTGACTGGAAGGCTTGGCATCTTGAAGAGGTAGGAGTTTGGTATTAATGAATATTTTTTCTGTCATATTTCAATGGTGCTGTTGCCTATTTCATTTTTGTTGTTATTGTTTTTGGTTTTTGTGGGTGTAATGTTTTTGGAGTGAATGAGTCTGTATATCATTATCATTATCATAGGCTTGACATATTTATGTGTGTGAACAGATAATATAAAATTTGATTACTTCAGCATTAAAAGGTAAAAGTTAAGATGATCAACTTCTTTGCACTGGGTTTTATTCCATACAGCTTGGTCTCTCTCTGCAGAATGGCTAGCCGCCCTCAAAGTGTCACACAAAGCATAAACTGCATAGCTCGGTGGATGATCCCCAGGGATCTCCTTAAAAATGTCCTTTATTAGCTGATTAACACAGTTGTGAAATGAACCCTTGCCCTTCAGAGCACTAGGCAAATGGCTTGACCATTTTGCCACAGAGACCCCACCCCTCCTCCACTAAGGGTTACGAAATGTAGTGACTTGTCATTTAAGTTCAGATGATGACAAACCAGGCAGGGGATAACAATTATTTACTACATCAGTGAACAGCAACTGTAGAATGAGTTACACACTGTAAGTTGGGTAAAGCAGACATCCCATGTTTTTTTTTTTACATCTCAAATATGAATTAACTATTGTCATAGTCTACAATTTTTAACTCTTGTCTGATTTATTAAAATCATCTATACTTATTTGTTTCTTGTACAGATAGATTTAATTGTTCATGTGTCTTTTTTTTTTTGGGGGGTAATAGATTGTTACATATTTTATGTTTAAACTAAGCAATATATACACAATTTTACTGTTGACACACTTAAAATATTTATGTTTTTATTACATCATTCAGCATCTCTATATTATTAACTATTAACAGGGAAATATAATTGTATACAAAAATATATTTCCCACATGTTTGCTTGAATTACTGTGTTTGTAAAATTCTGTAAAATTTTTATGAGACAGGTTAAGCTAAAGGACAAAACTACAGGAGAAGTTTTTATTTGTCAATTTGATAGCTGGTTATCACTTGACCGGGAGGATGGAGACCTGTCTAGAGAGCAAGCTGTGGCTTCTACTGGACAAACTACACTGACTGGTAAGTAGGGGCAGATAATGATTGTAACATGATGTTATGATATCGTTTTTGTTGTCTATTGTATAGCTGCAGAAAGGTGCCTTTTTTACTAATCATAGGCTACTAAACAATAATGCATACAATCTTATTCAGTGCGTGATTTATCTGTGTTTTAATTTTATCACTGAGTAGTATAGAAAAACAATCCAGCAACTTTGATTGGTCTTTCTGATTTTGTGTTTAAATGTGTGTGGTTCAGAATTCTAGTTAGTAAATTGGTTCGTTAGCTGGCTAATTTACTTGTTAGTGTTGGTTGGTTGATTGGTTGGCATGCTTATTGACTGGTTGACTGATTGAATAGTAGACTTAGTGCTTATTTTGTTGATTGAATAATTGATGGATTTTTTAACCCTATAGTCCCAGGAAGACTGTATTTAGTCATTTCTGTTTGTAACAAAGTCCCTGAAATGCTGACATATGATCAAGTATGCAGTGACCTATTCTAAAAAAAAAAACGTAGTTAAATTCCACTTGTCCTGTGTGTAACTGTATAGTGTTAAATAGGCCATCTTATGAAATTAGTAACTAAGCCTAGCATTTTGTGGGATTTCCTTAAAACCCCTATAGCTTTCTTAAAGCCAAGTTGATGTCAAATTTTCCTATAAGCCTCAGTGATGAAGATCATGGGATCACGGCATGAGTCACCCAATTCGTATTGTTTCTAGGCCCCGGGAAATGTATTCCATTTAATGCTTCACTCTGTTTGTGTTTATTGATTAACCCTTTATATATTTCTTTATGAACAATTTCTTTAGGCCTCAGAGATGTGGTTTTACAGAAGAATGCTTAAAATACCTTGGATAGCCAAAAAGAGCAACCAAGAGGTTTCGAACAAGGCGGGAGCCTGAAGACAACTTATCACAGACATCAGCAGGAGACGGTCATAATTTTTCAGCAATGTTATGAAAAGAGGGAAAATAGAACATGTTGTGACCAGCGGAAAAATCTGTGGAAGGAGGGATAGAGGAAGACAACGAGAGAAGATTCTTGACAGTCATGTTGCATGGCATGGAGGTGTGTCAGCACACGAACTGATACATGCTGCAGGAGATCATGGATTGTGGAGAGGCATGATCTCCAACGCGTCGGCAAGGCACCTGATGATGATATCTCTCTATATATATTTTTAAAAAAAAAATTTACACATTTTTATAAATAAATTTGTTAAAATGTTATTAATGACCTGTGTAATATGGTTTGTTTTTTATTTATTTTAAAGAGGTTTTCTGTAAATTCCCATTTATGGTCCATTTTGTTTTAGTATTCACAGGGCTAAAGGATTAAACTACTATTCTTTCTTTTTTCCATTTTCTCATTACCAGTTAAAAAATATGAAGTTCTTGTGGCAACAGGAGACCACTGGGCAGCAGAAACAGATGCTAATGTATACATAACCTTATTGGGTTCTCGGGGTGATTCAGGGAGGAGAGTACTTCACAGGTCAAGAACCAAGAACAGAAAATTTCAAAGAGGCCAGGTGGGACATTACTTTTGCCAGCTACTTCTGGAGAAATAATGCCATTGTTTATTATATATGTATTTTGTACATTATATTGCTGTAAAAAAAGCATTTTTAACACATTATATGTCAAGTAAACACTCCACATAATATATCTAATAAACAATCCACATTATATGTCAAACAAACAAAACTTAGTTCTGCACTATGCATGGCAACAAGTGCAAGAGACTCCTGTACATCATCCTTATAAAAAGCCTCCCAGCAAAAGCTAGATTTATACAAATGCTTTAATTCCACCACAAACAAAGGAGCAAACTTTATTTACCAAGGGTTCTTCTTCTTCTTTGTTCACCAGCTGTAAGCTCCTGTGGAAAGTTCTAGTTTTTCGTGCATTTGGACTTTGTCTTTGTGCCAGGGCTGAGTTTTGCGTGTACATCCATTTGACTGGCTTATTTGTGAGCAACTGGTTGTTCCTTGCCGCTCAGGCACATGCACTCCAGCTTTGAAGGAAGTCCCCAATAAGTTGACTCTTACAACATGCTTGTTGGGAAGTTGGGGAGGCAGTGGGTCTATTCTTGTTTTTCCCACAAAGGGGCCCTGGAATGTACACATGGAACAAAGAGTTAAGAACTGGACACACAGGTTCATCTAACATTCTGCTAGTACCTGGCAACATTTACTGCTAGACCTACACGATTGGCTACTAATAAACAGTCTACTTTATGTTAAAAGGGGAGGGGAGGGGGGGGCTATTATACGGTTTGATTAGGCCTAGAATTGTAAGCTACAAAACCTGAGGTCAAGAAAGACTAATACTTCAGGGGAAAATATACTGCATTTGAATATACTAATGTATTGTACAGAATTTGGAAGCAACAGAGATGTGGTTTCTGAGACGAATGTTACGAATACCTTGGACGGCCAGAGTAAATAACAACGATTGCTTGAAAGAAGCTGATGAAAGTAGATCTCTATATACAACAATAAGAAAGAGACAAACACTGTTCTTTGGCCACATAATGAGAAGAGAGACATTAGAAAACATCGTGACAACTGAAAAGATCAGTGTAAAGAGGGTTAGAGGCAGACCAAGAGAGAAGATGCTCATTGGGCTGAAACGATCTCATGGAGGGATATCATCAAGAGAGCTCTGTTCCAGGCAACCAGAGATCATGATCTGTGAAGATGCATGAGTGCCTACGCCAGTTGGCAGGGCACATGACGATGATGATTGTAAATTGGTTAAAATTTTTTTTTTCAATGATTGTAAAGGTGGGGGTTGTGCAGTCCATTCTTTTTTTTTTCCAGACCAACACCATATCCACATTTTATACATGCAAGTAGTGACCACAGGGAAGGTACATAACAGTGCTACTGACCACAAAGCACATAACAGTGCTACTGACCACAAAGCACATAACAGTGTGGTTATTTATTCAGTCATTTTCTTCCATGTTTTTCATTAAACATCATGCAGAGAAATGAAAGTGATCCAGCACTTAATGAGTTCTTCTGGCTGTTGTCATTTCCCGTGAATGAGCAATTTTTTTTTCATGCATCCATCTTCTACTTCGATGCCCTTTTGCTCATGTAAAAGTTCAAAATGTTTGTCTGCTGTTAACTAAGCTATTCAATCATACAAACAAAACAAGACCACCATTGTAACCGAAGCTTCTGTATGAGATTTTGTACCTCATTTGGGGAGGGGTAATAGAACAGACCCACTGTCGGCCAACAAACATGTTTTAAAAGGCAACTAATTATTGATGTTTCTTTTGAAGTCAGAGTACATCTGCCTGAGAGGCAAGGGACAACAGTTAGCATACAAATAAGCCAAATCTATTCAATGTATGTGCACATAACACTCAAGTTCTGGAATGAGACTAAAGTCCAGAAATGGATGAACAAGCAGTACTTTCCATCAGTTTATAGTCATTAAACGTAGAGAAAAAGAAGAAGAAGAAGAAGATAACCAAGCTTATGTTCAGCAGATTAAACATGGTCACATATCTCTCCCCCAAATGGAGATTTGTCTGCTGCTCAGTTTTTCCATTTCATGTGTACATACTATTTTTAGGATGACCTATTTGTGATTGAAGCTGTAGACTTGGAAGAACTGAAGACTGTTGTGGTCGGCCATGATGGACGGGGGCCAGGTTCTGGTTGGTTCTTGAAGCACATCACTGTCACAGATACCAGTGGAACAAACAAGAATAAGCATTTGTTTCCTTGTGGAAAATGGTTGGATGAAGGTGAAGCTGATGGGAAAATTGAGAGAACATTAAGAAAGATAGGTAATTATTATTGTCTATGACAGTTAATATGTTTTTCTTATACACAATATATATACACACACACTCCTGATTTCATATCCCTTACTCATACAGGAAAGTAGATAACTCCTTTTTTTTTTAGCTTTGTTTAGCAAGTTGCCTCAATATTATTGTTTTTACAGTTCTACAATATGGGTAGGATAGTGGCACTTAACCAGGCAACAATGTCAAGAATGACCATAGAGATAATCACTGCTTCCAGAGCACTCATGTGGTAATCATGTTGGACTCCATTAACATGCTTCAGAAAATCGCAGCAAATAAGATACACCCTGAATGGATAGCAAAGGTTTGGAAGTCACACTTAACCTCCCTCACCTCGAACTACACACCAGGCCATGCCGGAGAAAAAGGTAATGAACAAGCAGACTAACTAACAAGTAATGCACCAGTGCATTCTGGAAGAAGCATGGACAGAGCTGATATCATCAACACTGAACAAACTATGCTGGTGGATAATGACAGATCTCTGACACTAAAATGATTGTGTGACCTCTGGGTCAAACATGGTAAGGCATGTCTGTGCTGTCTTCATGGCCAAGAGACATGATGACCAACTTCTTGTGGGAATAATTAGGAACTTTTGGTGGCTGCTGCATTGGAGGACTGCACACACATGAGAATGCCCAGTATGCATGAATTGACTGACATATAACCCCACCAGGACATCACACTGAGCGATAAACACCCGGTGATACAAAGTGCTACCATTTGAATGAGGATCACCTAGGGACAGGTCCCAGAAATCATGTTCAACCCATAGGTTGGGTTATATAAGGCCCTCGGCAACTTCCGGGTTTGGGCTATGAAAAAAAAAAAATGAAAATTGTTGTCCCACATTGGATCGGTGAATTTGCATGGATGTCAGTTGTGATAACATAATAATATCGGGAATTTTGATAATAAAATGTGAATTATAATAGAGATGAGTTATAAAATCACATTTAAGAAAAGAAAGCATTTAGCCTTAGCCTCAGGCTTTTGGTAGCACACACACAAATGTTGATGTACTAATTTGATAAGGCTGATCTGGAGGGTGGACAAGGAATGGACCAGGCTGATATACTGAATGTGTACAAGAAGTAAGATGTATGCAAGAATCAAACATTAACTGAATCTCAGACAATATGGAGACTGCAAGAACAGCAAGTAAAAAGGGATGAAGCCAGAAAAAAGCAAATGCAAGAAGTCAAACAAAGAACTAGTTTTGCTAGCCACTACAAACTGCAGGATTTACTGAGGAGGGGAGCTGAGCATTCATGGACTGACTGAGTCAGTTTGCAGTGAGGATGATGTGTTGACTAACTAACTAATTAAGTAAAGGTTGTGTATTTGTTCAATGACTCATTTTGTCTAGTTACAGTGTTACACCAGTTGCAAATGTTAGTATCACAACACATGAAGTAGCTTTAAATTCACACACATATGTTTATTGTTGTGCCTCAATCTAGTCGGTGTGGTCATTATAGTCGAGAAAATCTCTCTTGCTACACATATAGATTCATAAACTGAGAATATTGTATTACCTGGTTTCTGCTTGAATCTATCATTTGCAGCTGTCTGTTGTTCCAGATAAACAAGGAAGAGTTCCTTTCATTTAATTCATCAACAGACTTTCCTCATCTTCTGAGTCATCTTTCTATCCCTACCAGATATTCGCCTCCACTCTCAGCTATTCAGATTAATGTAAAAAAGTAACTCCATTCAAACGTCCACTTGCAATCGCTGTCTCACACAGAATGCCTCTTTCTTCTGTCACACTTTTACTTGTCCCTTTCTCATTACAAAATCCCCCATCATTACATCTTGTTCACAGTTTCAGACAAGATGAGCCATTCAGAAAATTACAAGTACACAGTACACCAGAGAGAATAATACAAAACTGTTATGATGTTATGTGCCAAGGTGCTTTAGAGAAGCCTTTCTTTTACTTTCTAATGCTTACTTTCTTATTCACTCCTTATCTATCTTGGGGTGTAGAGGTTTGCCAGAGAGATCGCCAGTTTTTTTTTCTGGCTTTGTTTCATTCTAGTCCTCTGTCAGTCAGGGACTGTTGGATGTTGTCTTCTCAGCGGACCCTGGGTCACGCTGGAGGTCTGGTTCCCTGGTTCTTAGCCTACCATGCCTGCCATGATAGCCCATTTTCTCCCATTCTGCATACATGTCCAAACCATTCTAACTGTGACTGATTTACTCGAGTTTGTAAGGCCTGGGTCTCAAGATCTTAACGTACTGTCTGATTGTGAACTTTGTCCCTTTATGTCACTTGGACCACCTTTCTCAGATATCTCGTGTTTGAGTCCTGAAACTGGTTTCTATGAGCTGTTGTTTTTTCCCATGACACACCAGCAGGTCAGGACTGACACATAGGTAGTGGTAAAAAGCCATTTTTGTCCTCATGCCAATTTCTCTTTTGCTAAGAAGCCCTCCGTTTATGGCTTAGAAAAGTCTCCCAGCTGCTGCTTTTTGAGTAGCCAACTCTGTCTTAATACCTCCATTTTGGTCTTTTACAACTCCAACGTATTTGAACTGGTTGATCTGCTCCACCTGCTCCAATACATACTGTCCCATCAGGATCTAGTGTTTCTGCTCCTCTCTTGAGACCACCATGGTTTTAGTTTGGGAGATGCTGATGTGCCTCTGATTATTTTCTAATACACATGTTTGTACATTAATCTTCAGATGTACCCAGACTGTCAACATCGAAGGCTATGCCTGTTGAATGTGGTAAGTACTGAGATTGTTTTTGTGTGTGGTCATAATAATAATAAAAAAAAAGCAATTGGCAGAGAATTAGAGGATTTCTGGGAGTGGAGCATTAACCGATATGAAACCATTGGTATATTGGGAAACTTTTAAAGGTAGTGTTGCAACAATTGCAGCAGAAATCTCTTCAGTTTAGTTGTGTTTATGTTCCAAGTGATAGAAGTCTTATCCTAGGAAAAGAAAACATTATTTATACAGTTATTGCAGGGTAGACCAGGCCTATGGCCTTCGTTGGCAGCTGGTCTAAAAGGAAAGCTCCAACAGGCAAACACACAGATGTTATGTTATCAGTCATTTTCACTGCACATTGGGCATTCCCATGTCTGCTCAGTCCAATGCAGTAGTTACTCTAAGGTACTTCTGCTATTTTTTTCCCATGGGAGGTGGTTATAATGTCTCCTATCTCTGCCTCAAAGGCGGCATAGACATGCTTCACCATGCTTTACTCCCATCTCGTGCAATCATATTAGTGTAAGAGATTCATCATTATCCACTAGCCCAGTCCTTGCAGAGTTTATAATATCAAACAGAGCACAGATTTTCTGACCCAATTGTTTTGCAGCATTCCTTATTCTAAACGTATTGGTGTTACCTTTAGTTTGGAGTATACAAGGCAGAGAGAGGGAGACAGACAGACGGACGGACGGACGGACGGACAGACAGACAGACAGACAAACCACATGCTGCACTGACAACACATGGTCTCTGCAGTACTGCCCAGGCGTGTGCTATGAACAGGATTCTCTGTCTGTGGCATGAACTGGTTTTAATTCATCATCACCATGAGATGTGATTTCCATGCCAGCACAATATAACACTATCAGCTGGAAAGACACAAAGGTGCCACCGAAGGAGAAGAACTTCCACCAGTCTTGGTTTTCTTATTATTTCTTTCTTTTTTTTTCTCCAGATTTGTTTATACTTTTTAACTGTTACAGCTGATAAATGGCAAACGTAGCAAACCCCGAGCACAACCTTATGTTCAGCTGCTTCTTACAACATGCCTTGCAAGGTATGATGTTACTATTCCTTGCCTCCCTTCGGGACTATTTTAAAAACCATAATGAAGGTGAAAGTTAAAAGCAAGAGAGCAAGAGGTAGATATGATACAAGTGGGATGACAACATCACAAGATGGATTACTGACAGTGTGAGAGAGTGCGACAAGAACAAGGATCTACTGCAGCCAGCCTTCGTTGTGGAGATGGCACCCGACTGACTGACTACCTCTATGGCTTTTGACCCACTAGCAAATGTTGACATAATAATCTGAAAATCCTTTCCGCACTGGACTGTAAGGATGCCCCCATCCCCTTTTTTTCAAATCACTCTAACTAAATATTGTAGAGTTGGACTCTTACTGTGGAAATTGAAAGGAGGATTCGAGCTTTTGAATGTAAATGCTTCAGACCCATTTCACAAATTAGATATTTAAAACACAAAACTAATAAATGTGTCTGAGACATGCTTCGATTGCAAAGACTGTGCTTCAAGGAACATTGGGGGATAGTTGAAGAAGAGAATGGCAAAGAAGAACCAGGAATGACAACATCAAGAAATGAACTGGACTAAATTATCATACACTTATTTGTCAAGCGGAAGACAGAGAAAGATGGTGGGTTTTGTGTGCTTCCATCAATACACCACCAAAACCCTAATGGGTCAAGGGTTATGTTATGTTATGCAATCAAATATATTTGACAGCTGTTCAATTGTGTTTTGCAGGAGGACAATGGAAGGTGAAGGTGAAGACATCAGACATGCCAGATGCTGGTACACAAGGGCGGGTTTACATCACTATCCATGGAACCAAAGATTACTCACAGCCAGTTCCTCTAGGTGATGGCTTTTCATCAAAAGAATGTTTTGTGCCCGGAAAAGAATCCACTTTTGATGTTACAGTAGGGGAGATTGGAGAGTTGGCCAAAATTAGACTAGAACATGACACAGACAACAAAGATTCTGCATGGCATGTTGATTGGGTATGCTGTTTTCTCTTTGTGGTCTTTGTGGGCACAATAACTACAGCTCTGAAATGTGTCAGTTTGTATATAGCTCTCTGTGTGGGTTCTAGGACCCCATTTTGGCTGGGGGTGGAGGGTGGGAGTGAATAGTCCCATTGAATTAAACAAGCATATCATAAGAAGTGACTGACTAGGGATTTCCTGAACTGTTTTCCACCCCCATGAATTTGACAGGCTTGGCTCATAATAATTTCCCTTTACAAAAATGGCAGAGGGGGTGGTGTTGAAAAAAAGGGATAATTGAGACTGTAATATATTTCTAATCCCTATAAAAGAATACATTATTTTCAAGAGGAATTAATGTAAAGTTTGAATATGATTATATGTTTTTGTTTAATACTGTTATAGTTAGTAGGAAAAGAAATTAGCAGGTGTTATTTTTACAAAAATAAAAATGTTACCCTTAGCACCCCAAAAAAAAAAATGACTTCACCTAACCATGGTTTTGCAGAATAACACTTTAAAGTTTGTTCAGTTTCCTAACAAATTCAAAAGTTATGACACATTTCTGGGTTAGCTTATCACTCAGAGGTTCATGGTACTGATAACGTGCTGAACAACATTTCTAAGATAAGACTGTCAGAAAATTAGACCTATAGTCCTATACCTACAAATTATTAAATGTATAGTTATATATTGGCTGTAGCTGCAAGGATTTCAATGCTGCTTAGCCATAGTATGAGTATAGTACTGTCTAAAACAGTCCTTTGAAAGCAAATGTGAGTGACTATCACATTCTTTGCAAATGAAATGGGTCTCCCTAGATTTACCTCATCAGAACGAACAGCTGACTGCCCAGCTGTCACTGGTGTAAATTTACCATCCAAATCAATTTGAAAAATTTATGTGTTTCATTATTAGAAAACATCTGACTAAAACAATTTCAGAGCTTCAGCCACAAAAAGGTGCGATTTTTTGGCCTGTGCTTGTGTTTGGATCATTAGTAACCATAGCCACTTGAACATGAAATCGGAAAATGCATTGTCTGAAAACCACGCTAGCTATGAATTAAATTAGTTCATGCTAACATAGACTTATTTATTTTTAAAAAAAAAAGTTAGAGTAACCTTCCCTGAATAGTTTAATGGTAGTTCTGAACATTGAAAATAAGTACAGAGCCATTTATGAATAAGTATGTACAGGACTCATGAACGATGCAGAAAATGTTGTTTGAGCAAATCCGAACTTCTCAATCAACACACACAGCGTTTCTCAGGCCTCAAAGAGTTAAATCTAGTGTGTTTGGCCAAAAGATGTGAATGCTGCAGTCTGTCTGAAAATAAAACACAACATGCCAGCCACCTTTTAGAGATAAATACAGAAGAAATATAAAGCTGGGACTATTTTTTTCTACAAATTATTGCCATTTCTAAAACCTCATTTAAAAAAATTCTTTTTTCAATTAAAAAAAAAATTTAATTTAATTGTATTTTTATAATTAATTTTAAGCATTGTCATACTGCCCACACATTGTAACTTTTCTTAAATAAAATGATTTATGTTTTTAAGAAAATTACCAAATATATATTGTGTTTAGTCAGAATGATTAGCTGAACCTGAAATGTTTCATTCAGTCTGGTAATTCATCATGGGATACAAGGACAATTGCTAGATAACATTGTAGCCATGTACCACACTTGCCAAAGCAGAGTGAGATTACAAGAACATTATTAAGAACATTATTGTGATATGTTCACAATCAATACAGGGGTGAGGCAGGGATGTGTGCCATATCCTCTCTTATTTATATATACATAGATAAAATATTTTTTTTTAAAGCCAGCTCTAAATCAGAGGCACAAACAGGTCATCACAGTCTGAAGAGAATGGTGCAGTGGAGAGTGACCAAGGGATCTGACACTCGGAACTTAGAGGAAAAGCAAGGTGGACATACAGTCAGACTGATACAGGGACCATCAGGATCATTGTTCTTTATTGGCTGCTGAAGATGAAGACGGAGTGTTTATGGGAGTGTCCTGGATGCAGCAGTGTGGGTTCTCAACCCAGCTGAAATCAGCTTGCAAATAAATACATTTTCACAAAAGCCCCCACAATTATTCTACATTTTATCTTTCTAGGTCTGGATGAAACACCTGGAGTCTGGCTTTGAATACTTATTTATATTTGACCAGTGGTTGGCTGATAATGGCCAAGATAGACAGGTTTTCAGGGAATGTGCTGTTGAGTCCACTGGTTGGATGCCTTCTCCTTGTGAGTGAAGTTTTCCTTAGCTGATTTCTTACTTGTATTATTATTATTAGCTCATAAAAAGCTCCTATTTTGTAGTATTATAATTATTATTATTAGCTCATTAGTAAGCTCCTATTTTGCATTATAAATATGACAACATGGCTTAAATTAGTACTAAATCCCATATCAGATATAACAAATATTTGTGAATTGTATGCCTCCAGTGGGGTGGGTGGGGGAGGGGAATGGGAGAAGATAGATCCACTGCCCCAAAATTAAAGGCATGTTGTGAAAAACAACTTATAAACTAATACAGGGTTTGCTACAATTGGATGTGTTGGATCAAACAGCACAGTTGTCACCCACCTCTGTTCATCTGTGTAACTGGCGTTCTTTTCAATATGGTGACCCCAAATGTCCAAAATCTAGGCAGATGTTTGTTTTGTGACAAAATAATGTTTTATAAAGATAGGAATGTCAGCCACATAGTTCATCCCCTAACCAGGAGTGTCTCCCTTTGTCTGATCTTTATCCTCTGAGCTGTCTGTCTTGAGAGACCCTACTGGTAGTTATACTACTGCTAGCACAGTTCTCAAGGTCATTGACAAGCACATGCTCGCCCACCACAAAATGGTGGAAACACCTTTGAGATGAATCATTAGTTTAAAATTAAAAGTAGTTTGGACCGGCAAAATTACAAAACTATCGCAAATATTTATAGTATCTGTGGTTTGGGTAAACGTACATTTGGATCCTTGTTCTGTTTAGGAGTTAATTTAGTGTGTTGAGAAAATCTTTCAGTCCCCAGCAGCTATTTTGACCTCTTCTGTTTCAAGTAGTTGAGTTTAAATGTAATAAATACTTAGGTTTGAATGAGTTCAACAGAGACACAATAGAGTAGAAGTAGTTTAACAGTTACATTACGGTGGATTGATAGAACATCCATATGTGATAAAAGATAGCAGTTAAATCAAATAATTTTAGGACTGGCCAGAAGTGTATAGTGATTTGGTTGATACTGAAAGAGATAAGAAGAGAGTCAAGCACTTATAAAGATGTCCATGTAAAGTTAAGGTGATTCTTCGTTAAAAAAACAACCCAGACCAAACATGACTTGTAGGTTGAATTGCTATATGATATGTTTTTTATTTTTTTTAAATTCATCATCATAAACCACTCCTGCCATTTAGTGTTGTGGGGAGGAATAATTTGTTATCCAGTGCATGTTGGCTGCCATTGGCTATTGTCACACAGTGAAGGCGTAGAGTATCTTTAATATTGTCAATCCACATTTTTTTGCGGCAGTCCTTTTGCTCTTGTAGCTGATCTTCTGAGATGTAGTGCTTGTGATGATATTTGATCTTGTTGCATTCTAACAAGATGGCCAAACCATTTGAACTGCTGTATCTCAAGGTGTCATTCCCACAATTTTCTAATAGAATCATTATTCACTCGATAATGGATGGTAAGGTTTATGGCTTTTATGCTTTAAAAAAAAAAATTAAATGATTAAAAAGAAGTTAAGAGAAGAACCCATTTACTGTGTCATAAGACATACTGAGCATTTTGCTCCAGCCCACTATTTGTATAGACCAATCAGCACTTAGTGGGGTTGGGGTGATGTAGTCAGTGTCATGCTAACCAACTTTACTACCTAAGACGTTTTCTGGTAGCCATTTTAGAAAAGATCTGCCTAGTAGCTCTGATAAAACTTTTAAAATATCCTTGATTGGGATTTCAAACGTGAATTTGTTGTTATCTTGTCAGTTTCTACCCCCCCTCCCCCTTTCCCTATTTTGTGTAATCAGTTGCTTCTTCTTCTTCTGTTTCACCTTCACTAGCTGTAAACTCCAGTAGAAAGTTCTGGTTGTTCATCCACGTTCCGACTTGAGTCTTGTTCCAGAACCTAAGTTCTGCATGCACACCTATCTTACAGATCTGGCTTAATTATAGTATGCAGTCTGTTGGCTCCTCACCTCTCAGGCAGATGCACTCTGACTTTGAAGGAAACCCCTAATTAGTCCCATTTAACAACATGATGTTGGGTGACATTTGGTCTATTCTTTTTTTCTCCTTAAATGAGACCCCTGCAGCTCACACAGAGAGTAATAAATTTATAACGTATTATTATTGTTTGAATCTTTTCTTTGGCCAGCATCTCTCTATCCGTAGGGCTGACCCTACTACCAGCAAGATTTCCTCTGCACTTCCTCTAGTGGCCTACAGGCATGACTGTAGCCTTAAGGACATTCTAGTTAAGAATAGGTTACGTCCTGCCTCCGAGTCAAACTTCGGGACTGTCTCTTGCCACAAACCTGTATGCAGGACCTGTCCATATGTGGTTCAGGGTACCAGCCTGGAATTGCTGAATGCCACCTTTCACATACGTGAAGCCTTCTATTGCATGAGCCGTAATGTAATTTACGACATCAACTGCAAGAAATGTAGCATTAAATACATCGGTGAAACAGGTTTACGACTGGCTGACAAGTTCAGTCAACATCTTTTGGACGTGCAAAATGGCGCCCTGAAACCAGTACCACTGCATTTCGAATTCCCAGGACCACCAAGGTGTCCATGACATGGAGGTGACAGCCATTAAATCTAGCAACTCCAGCCACCGAGTTCGCAAGTCTCTAGAAAATTGCTTCATATACACTTTGGGAACTCTGGCGCCCAGTGTACTAAACTGCCAACACAGCTTCCTCTAAATCCTAGGGGGCTTAACTGCCTACACAGTTTTATCTTTTCCTCGAGTAACGTCCCCTGGCATATCCCCAGATATTTATTTTCCGGGCTCACGTGCCTCACCAGACTATTGTCTTGACATCGATATATTGTGTATGTGTGTAGTATTGAATAATTTATGTATGTGCTGAAGAAGGTTCCATTGCCGCAGCGTTCACATTTTGTTTGTGTTTGTTATATTGTGAAGCTCGCTGATATACCTTTCGTTCAGTTTTATATCTTTTCCGTATATTTTCTTTGACCAGTATTACGCTACATCATTATTGTGCAGACGGGAAGAAAGCCAAATTCTGGAGCCCATGGCGGCGTGTGCACCATCAATATTATGGGCTCACAAGGAGTTACAGGTCAGCAGAAGTTGTCTCATCCACTGGGAACGTCTGCAGACTGTATGAAGGATGGCATGCTGGATGTATACATGCTCGAGGCCGTCTGTGTGGGGGAAATCAGAAATTTGAAGATAGGATTTGATGGCAAAGGCAGAGGTCAGTGTTTGTTTTCTAAAATGAATTCAGCTTACAATAAGACTTCAATTTTTTCTGTCCTCGCTATGAATTTAATAAATAATAATAACCCATTATATAATATATACAGCAGATCATTACTAGTGGGGGAGGGCGAATTTTGCTGTCTTATTTGTAATCAGTAACATTGCAAATGACAGTTATATTTCATAAAGCACATTTGATAGCTCTTTTAAATCTTTAATGACCAGAATGCTTAACACGTATAAGAAAGGATATCTTACATAATAATTAATTTTCATCATCATTGCCAAGTGCTTTGCCGACTGGCATAGCCATCATGCCTCTCCACAATCTGTGATCTCCAACTGCGTGTACCAGTTCGTGTGTTGACATCCCTCTATGAAATGACAAAAAATGTCAAGAATCTTTTCACGCTGTCTTTCTTAGTCTCTTTTTAAACAGATCTTTCCAGTGGTCACAAAGTGTTTCATTTTCCCTCTTCTCCTAACATAACCAAAAAATGATGACTGTCTCTTTCTAACGTTGTGATAAGATGACTTCGAGCATTCAGTTCTTTCAAAACAGCTGGGTTGCTCTTCTTAGCTGTCCAAGGAATTCTAAGAATTCTTCTGTAAAACCACATCTCCGCGGCATAAAGATATTGTTCGACTTGTTTATTAATTGTCCAGGCTTCACAGCCGTATGTTAAAGCTGGCTCTACTCTATATAGCATGCGAGAATTCTTTTCCAAACCTCCAATGACATGGATTTATTGCATAAATTTAATCTTCACTGAATGTCAAAAACAAAGAACTGAACTATTTTGTTAAAAAGTATTCTTTTGTATGGATTTGAATCTTGGAATGTGAAGGAACACATTTGGATAGTACGGGAGGCTGCAGAGATAGGGCTTCTGCATTTATATATCCATACCCGCACAGGACTGCATGCTACATCAGACTGCTGTAGCCATTATTGGTGTCCCAATTATAGCTTCCTTAGAGGTTGAATGAGTTATATGGGATTTGTGCTGTTGCTTTGCTATACAAATTAAAATTTTGTAATCTCAGAGTGTTGAACCTTTAGTTAGCAGCCTGAAGTAAAAAAAAGGAAATGGGTGGGGAAAGGGATGGGTGAATGCTTCTAGGATGTGGTTTCCAAAATGAATATTAACTACACTGTAGACAAAAGGAGCTGCTAATTACAGTTGTCAGAAAGTAAAAAGCTAATGAAAAGTTAAATATTGTGTGCAACTAACAGAAATTAACAGACTATTTTCCTTTAGTATGTGATGATAAGGGATGCATTGGAAAATATGGTCATGAAAGGAAAGATCAACTGTAGCAGAGGCAGACCGATGCAAATGGTCTAAGATGATGACATTGAGGAATAGAACTGATCCAGAACACCAAAGACTGAGATTTTTGGTCAGGAATATCTATGAACCACAACTGGCAATTTCAGGAAGCAAGTGGGGATGGAACCAGTGCTAAAGTACAACACAAGATAACAGATCAAATAGTTATGGCATGAGTCAAGACTGCCAGAGGTCAGTGCATCATGGAGAGTCCAGTCACTTTGATACAATAGAAGCAGAGCTAAGGGTCACCCATGTAAGCAATGAATAAAGGGAATATCTGAGGCCGTGAATACCAACATACATGCAGCACACAAACTAATCAAACAGGTGCCATCTCTACTGTGAAGGTTGGCTGTATTGAATCTCCAACTGGTTCTGCCTCTTGTCTTAGTTGTACACTCTCTCAGACTGCTGTTGATCCACCCTCTAGTTGTTGTCCTCCCATTGTATCATTGTTTGCCTCTCGCTGTTATGTCTTTGACATGTCCTTCCATTATCATTTTTAAAAAGATTGTTGTGTCTTTTAATGTGGCTGAAATATTTGAGTTGTCTCCTCTTTTTCTTTAAATTTCTTTCAGTAACTCTTTGTATTCAGTCTCTTTAGAAGCTCTTTAATTGATTGCTTTGGTTTCCACATGCAGCACATGCCAGTCTTATTCTCAAATGTTATTTGTTTACTTTTTACAGTTAAGAGATGGTTTCTGGAGAGTGTCATAGTCATGGAAAGCTTGTTAGCTCTCTCAGAGAGTGTCTTCATTGCAAATTCTTGGCTGGATTCAGAAAAACAACCAGAGTTGCTGTTGTCCCTTTCTGGTAAGAACTTGTCTATATATTATTATTTTAGAACTTACTGCCCTATTGTTGTTGTTTTTTAAATAACCTCATAGACATCGTACTACCTTCATTGTTAACACATTTTATTTGAGTTAGGAAATGAAATGGCAGTAAATATTAGAATGTGAATGAACAAATTAGAAAGAAAAAAGTTTGAAGACAGTGGTGATTTCTGATAAGAATGTTGTAACCTTGGAACTCAGATTATTTAAAACAATTAAATGAACAAGCTAATTTAACTTCTTATGTAGATTATAATTTGGTAGTCGAGATTTTAACTTCACTTCAGATTGGTCACCCTGTAATTGCTCTATTCCTATACCAGGGATAATTATATGAAATGGCCCTTAGTGTTCCATTAAAAATATGTGAGCAACATTTAGTTCTGCTAACATTCATAAATGCTAAAAAACATAAAATGTGAATAGAAAGCTCAACAAAGGGAATTGAAAAAAGCCCACAAATACCAACAAACGTTTTGACAAAAGTCTTTATCAATGGATGTCACATGACGTGTCTTTAGTAGGGTTTCCTCTAATAATCAAAGACACTTCTGAAGTGACTTAATCTTAGATGGTGGCTCAATTTGTCTAGAAGGTACCCCATAGCTCCTACAACCATCCAACATCAATTCAGGGGTGAGATGACTCAAATTATGATTCCCACTGCAATAACAAATATACCTGGGCTCAACTTGGCCACTTAGAAACCCCCAGACTAAATAGCAAACCTATCATAATCAAAATATAACACAGTAATGAATCTGACCAAACAACACCACATTCACAAACAATCTATCCTCTTTTTATTAAATCATAAAGTGTGCATAAAATCTACAATTCTTTGTAGTAGAAGCATTAGCAGTTATTTTCACATAAATATCAATTTTAACCATCAGGGTTATAACTAGGATATAAAGTGTTCTTTGAATTTTCAGAGTGTATTTTGGCTATTTTTTTATGTTGTATGATCATTTCTTTCAGTCATTTATGAGGATTATGTCATTGTTATTTGAGATAATGTCCTGCTAACACCTTCTGGTTGTGAATAAAAAAGATACTGTACAGTGAGTAGTTAGATAATCTTATTAACAATTATGCTCAAGGTCCTGCAGGCGAAGTCATATCTCAAGGTAGCTGCAGACACAGATCACCCTTTGCAAGAGGCTCTGGGCACAGTTAAGGGTCAGTGGCTGATAAGAGGGAAGTCATGGATGGCTCAGGCAGAAGACACAATCAGACAGGTTTGCATCCTTGAGAACATTAGGCGAGGAGATGAGTGGGTCAGAGTACCACTAGAACAGTCAGACTTGTGTAGGGTCATAATCACATTGAATCAGGTATGCAGAGACTGGCCAGCAGGTGCCACGAAGATGGAAATTCAGCAGTTAATTCAAGATAATGCTCGCTCAGAGGATTTGATCATTTACACAGACGGTTCAGTGTCAAGAGGCAAAAGAAGTGCTTGGGGTTTCTTAGCAAAAGTTAATGGTCAACATTTGGTGCAGGAGAGCCTAGCATATGATACCACAACATCCAGCTTAAGAATGGAGGTGGAGGCGGTCACTGCAGCTTTCCACTGGCTAGAGAACATCACACACACACAAACACATACACACACACACACACACACACACACACATCATGATTGTAACTGACTCAGAAAGCATGCTGAGGAAGATCAGGACAGGCATGCTTCGTGCAGAGTGGCATGCTTCACTGCAGAGGACACGGGTGAGGAGCATTGTCTGGATTTTTTTCTCCGGGAAACGCTGGTGTGTTGGCAAATGAACAGGCGGACAGACTTGCTGACTCTGCACAACTTTGTGGAATACTGATGCATGCTAGGGCAGACGTGGTTAGTGCCTTGTGGGAGAGCATGTACAGTTTGTAGGAGCAGATGAATCACCACAGTCTGGTGAGATTAATGCAGTGGGTGTGACGAGAAGTTCTGGCAGATGCTCAAGTCTCAGAGGAAAGGCAAGATGGACGTTTAATCAGAATTCTACTGGCACCATTAGTATCGGAACTCTGCACTGGCTGCTGAAGATGGGGACAGAGCGCTTATGGGAGTGCCATGAGTGTTGTGATGACTGTTCTTGAATCAAACCAATCAAATCAGTTAACAATTATGATTATATTTTTGTTCATAACATTTTTATTAGAACATAGACATCTGTGCATGTTTTACCATAACATATTTTATTATATCTAGATGTGATTAAAATATGGTCATGATTTTTATGTTTGTAATTGTCATGTGCCCTCAATTTCTTATCTGTGATTATATTTCTAAACAAATTGTTATAATAGAATGAATAAATGTGTAAATGTTTGAGAAACACTGTGCATCTTTTATCAAACCTTACTGAAATGAATCCAGATGTAAATTATTACATAATTTTATTTGCATTTTAATAAAAATGAAACAAGGGTAATTGACATTTTATACAGCCTTTCAAAGGATTCCACAACAGGTGCCAAGGAGGCAAATAACTGACAAATTAATTAGCTTCTCTCAAATATACAACATATACTGTGGCATGTCTCACTGACTGCTAGCTTGTCTCTATGTGTGCGTAAGTGAAAACTCACAAATGAATACAGTTCTTAACTAATAAATGTTATGTGTGTGGATATCTTCGAAAATGAAAACATGCTTGTTTATAAAGTAAAAAGGTGTTATTTGTTCAATATCTTGCCGGTTGTCTTTAATTCCTAGACCATTTTTTCGTGGTACATGTTTTCAAAAAGGTTTTTTTAATATCTCCATCCTCAGAAGAGTCTAGCACATGACCATACTACCTGATGCACAACATGTTAGCCGTGTGTGTGTGTGCGTGCATGTGTGCGTGCATGCATGTGTGTGTGTACTTTTGCATGCATGCATGCATGTGTGTGTGTGTGTGTCTAAGAGAAAGAGAGAGAGAAAGAGAGAGGCATACAGACATGAAATACCTAATGGGTTAATAGTTGTTGCATTGACTATCTCTTAGATTTCAAAAACAAAGCACACTTTATATTAACACAGGTGTATGGGACCTGTGGATTCAGACTGTAAATGAAGAGGGTGCAGGAACACAGAGCGTGATTGTTCTTGTGTTGTGTGGTACAACTGGATCTTCTCCACCACTTTATCTCAACCAACATAATGACTTCCATGCCGGCTCTTGTTATCACACACAGGTTGGACACAAGTTTTTTTTTTCCATTATTTTAAAATAATCTTGTTTCACAGATGAAGTTATTGATTTGCTTAGTTATTTATTCAGTGTGCAAATTGTCTGGTAGACACTGCAGTGGCTATGACTGGTCCAGTGCTGGCTAGAAGTGATGTCATCATTGACCTGTTTGATGCATATCAAAAAATTGTAATGAGAAATGACATGAATCAGTATCAGTACCAAGAGGCTGAGGCATTATTAAAATCTAGTATCCAAGAAAGGTGGCTGAATATCCTTACCCAGTTTTTTTCCTCCAAGATTCACTTCATCAATTCCTTAAAGATGGGCAATGTGTCATATTCAGATTAAGGACAGGGCATAACAGACTTTGCCAACATATGTTCTAGTTTTTTTGTCAAGGAAACATTGAGATTATTCTTGCAACTTGGCACCAGAAAATGCTGATCATGTGCTCCAACACTGTGAACAGTAACCTCAATGAAGACAAAGCTGTACAGTACACTGGGAAATATGGACTGCACGATAGCTTTCATAAAGGCTACCGGCCTCCTGGTTTCAGTTTTCTGATCTAAGGATCAAAGAAGAAGATGAGTATCAGTATCTAGGCTGGTGGACAAGGGGTGCAGCCTGGAGCTGCCAGACATGAGTTTTTCACCAAGAGCCCAAGTTGCTTTATAACTCTCCCTGTGTGGTTTCATAACTCTCCCTGTGTGGTTTCCTAACTCTCCCTGTGTGGTTTCCTAACTCTCCCTGTGTGGTTTCCTAACTCTCCCTGCATGGTTTTCTAACTCTCCCTGCATGATTTTCTTACTCTCCCTGTGTGGTTTCCTAACTCTCCCTATGTGGTTTCCTAACTCTCCCTGTGTGGTTTCCTAACTCTCCCTGTGTGGTTTCATAACTTTCCCTGTGTTGTGGTTTCATAACTCTCCCTGTGTGGTTTCATAACTCTCCCTGTGTGGTTTCATAACTCTCCCTGTGTGGTTTCTGGGGCCCCATTGTGGGAAAAACAAGAATAGAACCACTTCTACTCCATTAAGTATCTCCCAGGAGACTATTAATTGGGAGCTTCCTTTAAAGACAGAGTGCATTTGCCCCAGCTGCAAGCAACAACCAACTCCACACAAATAAGCCAGTAAAACGGATGGAAAATGCATGCAAAACTCAGGCCATGGTACAAACCTAAAGTCCAAATGGATGAACAACCAGGACTTTCCGCATGAGCTTACAGCTGGTGAAAAAGATGTTTCACTGATTATCACAGACAGGTATTTTACACTTTTGGTTGAGATCGGAGAACCTTTGAAACTATCCGGAGTGCTGCTCTGATAATTCTTTCTAAACATGTACATAGTACATTGTCAAGCACATTCACATACTAGCCTGGTGGTCATTTTGGTGAATTCTTTTAGATCATCTGAGCCCACAGGTCAACCAAGTGTACATTTGATATCAGGAAATGCTCTTGAAAGTAAAGTAAGCCTGCATGATATTGACCAAATCAGTCACCACGCGCTAATTGGTCCATTCGAATTTTAAAAATGAAGCTGAAGGTTTGAAAATTAGATTTTAAACATTCATATTCTATAATCCATTATTTATATATGGAGCTAAATGACTAATTTCCTAACCTACCCTTGATGTTTAGCCCCAAGATTTGGTGAGTCTAAACTTATCCATGGTTCATTAGATTACTCTTGGGATTGTTACACTCCACCACATTTAGAGATTAGCTAAAATACTGTGCACTATCATTGATTTAGTCCACTACAGTTTATAAAGTAACTGTAATTTAAAGAAGTTTGACAGTTTAAACCAGCCAGATACTGTTTTGTTTTTTATCAAGCTAATGCTCTCTTGAAAGAAAAAAATCAATAATAAAGAAATCCTAGACTTTCAGAATACTTTAGGACACCAGAGAGACAGTCATATTTAAAAGACTGTTGGAGACTATGATTGAGCTCTCCAAAAAGAGAAACAATCTTTTGAAAAAATGAAATTCATGTTAAAACATTACTTTAACAGCTGTGAACAAATTAGTGAATAAATGTTTGAATAAATAAATGAATCAGCTAATCAGTCAATCAATCAACAAAAGAATGATTGAATAAATCAATCAGTCAATGAATGAATGAATGAATCAGAAATCTACATTACTAAACTGACATTCCCCCATGTGTTCCATCCCCTTCCTCAGTAGCCATGGAAAAGTTCATATACTTATGGTGCATATGCAGCCTAATTAAAAGTATTTTCCTCTGCCTGTTTAAGATTGTCCAGACCATCAGCTATTTCCCTGTTGAATCAGTCTCTCCAGATGTGATACTCCGTTCTGTTGCACTCTGTACTTGATCCCAGTGAGCCCTCACCATGTCTTTTTTATCATAAAGTGAATCGCCACATACAGGAGTGGCAGCAATAGTGAATGAGTTGGAAGAAGGAGAAGAAGAAGAAGAAGAGGAGAAGGAGGGGAAGAAGGAGGAGAAAGAGGGTGAGGGGGAAAAGGAAGAAGAAAGAAGAAAGAGGAAAAGGGAGGGGAACTTATATAATTAGGACTTTCACTTATTCACCATTATTTTGTCAGTATTTTACGAGTACTTTTTCATAAATGAAATTCATATTTAAAATAATTTTTATTCATTTTTTTAAAACAGATCAGGTCTGGTAAGACAGGTGACATTTTCAAAATTAGGCTTGCATTTGCAGACAAATCTGGAAAGTCTTGGTATTTGGAAAGGGTAAGATAGCCAAGTGATATTTATTGGTAGAACAGAATACCTGTGTGGGTTCTGTGGCCCTATTGTGGGAGAAACAAGAATAGATCCACTACCTCCCCAACAAGCATGTCATAGAAGTCAACTAATTTTGAGCTCCTTTCGAGATTGGAGTGTATACTCACGTGGAAAGTACTGTTTGTGCATCCATGTCCCGACTTGAGTCTTGTTCCAGAACCTAAGTTCTGCATGCTCACCCACCTTAAGATCTGGGTTAATTATAATATGCAGTCTGTTGACTCCTCACCTCCCAAGTAGATGCATTCTGACTTCTAAGGAAACACCCCTAATTAGTGGCCTTTTACAACATGATCTTGGGTGGCATTTGGTCTGTTCTTTTTTGTCTCTCCCAAAATGGGGCCCCTGGAACTCACTCAGAGAGTAAAAAATTTATAACATATTATTGTTTGAATCTTTTCTTTGGCCAGTATTACGATATGTCATTATTGTGCAGACAGGAAGAAAGCCAAATTCTGGTTCGAATGGCATGAACGACCAACTGCAGATAAATAACCAGTAAAATGGATGCACACAAAAATCAGGCCCTGGAACAAAACCAAAGTCGTAATGAACAACCAGGACTTTCCACTGGAGCTTACAGCCAGTAAACAAAGAAGGATGAACAGAAGAAACATTAGGGTTTGAGAGAAATATTTTAGTAGTTTCATTTATCTGTGTATTACAACTGATAAAGTTGCTTACTGATAATAAAGTACAATACATTACATTCTGGAAACAAATTAAGTTTGTGTGCAATTGCTGTTCACAGTTTTATAATTTTTATGAACATTATTTTATTGATAAAACTGAAAGCTGATTAAACAGGGCAAACTGTAAGTAACAAAAAAACAAACAAAGAGATAAAATACAAAAATACAATAAATTAGACAGTTTAAATAAGGAACTAAATATGGGTTATATTTAATGAGAAACAGTCTTACATTTTTTGCTTTGAATGTTGAATGTTGAATTAAGATTCAACATCACAGCACTTGGACACTCCCATAAGTGCTCAGTCCCCATCTTCAGCAGCAAGCGAAGAGTTCCAATTCCAATGGTACCAGTAACCGTCTGATTGTACATTAACATTTTTGCCCTGCACATACATAACAATTCATTTTAAATTTAATTCAAAGATCAAACTGAAAGACAGTGTCACAAAACAAGAATTCAACTTTGATTACAAGAGCTGGTTGCGTTGCACTGAAGACAACCCGTTAGGAACGGTTGAACTACCTGCTATAAGACCTGATATTGCCCCACTACCTGGTTAGTTGTTAACTTTTTTCTGTCACTTGTAATTGTGTTCTTGTAAAATGCATCAATCCATTTACCTCTTTTCTTGTTATATTATTATCATTATGATTATTTTTCTTGTTTAAATATGAAACTTAAAATGCAGGTCTAGTGGTCAAAAGTTTAAACTTCCATCTAGGTGGATATTAAAAAAGTGACCCAGGTCTGCTCACCCTAAAAGGGGTGCATGGAAATTTCCTGGAGATTGAAGGTTGCTGATCTGTCTATACAGATATGTCTAGTGCAACTTGAGGAATATAAAACACTTGAATAATTATCCAGTGGGCTCGGGTGCTAGGCACTGCAGCCAGCTGTGTTAGGATTTACTAGCTTCTCACTGGCGAGGCAATGAAATTATGTAGCTTGCTGCAACCCATAGCGCATCAATATCATCTTCACCTCCACTGTGACGAAATGACCTCAGTGGTCTCAGAAGTTATATTGTGTTTAATAATTTCTTATGTTCAGAGAAGGACAAAGAATTAAGAGCAATAGACACTGAGCCTAAAATAGTTCTAAAACCACTATAAGGGATTTGAGAATTGTTTAAACTGTGTTTCCTGTCTTAGCCAGACAAAGCAACCTTGCTTTATGTACTGTTACCTAATACTACTGTAGTTAGAGGTTTCACCTGCCCATGTCATATTATTATCTCCTGCCCAGTCTGGAGAGGCACGACCGGCTCCAGCTGACGGGCCGTGCTGCTAACGTCACTGGGTCGGGCTAACGATGCGTTAAAGCAGCAGTTCTCAAACTGGGTGCCGAAGCACACTAAGGGCGCGTTAGCGTATGCTACTGGAGCCGCGGAAATAATCAAGAAAAGTCGGCTAAAAATTGTGAAATTTTTAAAGAAGGAATGTAGATACTTGAAAGTTAAAAATCTAAGTTGTCCTTCCTAGCCACGGTCGAAAAAAGTTTATTTATAGTTTTAGAACCACCGCGTTAACGCATCGTTAGCCCGACCTGGTGACGTCAGCAGCACGGCCTGTCAACTAAAGCCGGTCTTGGGAGAGGCAAGTAAAGGGGGAGATAACGTAGTATCACACCTGATTAGCTCCCCTGAAACCCGACTTTAGTGTCATAAAAAGTTACATAACACACACTGAGTGGGGCCGTTTGATCAAACTGGACCAGGGGAATTAAGTGGTCTGGTAGAAATTTCTAGACAGGCCGGCGTCCAGCGTCTGAAGTTTTCACACATGATAGTGAAATTCTCAAGAGAACAGATGTTTGGCAATTAGTAATGTTTAGTCTTGGTCAAGGTCGTACTGTAGGCCGTTCACTGTGAGTGACAGGCCCCTTGATAGCTAGGTTGATCTGCTACGTACCTCAGAGGCGGGGCTTAAGTCATCTCCTTGAGGGTTGGGTAGAACCTAGTAGAGGGTGGAGTTGAACCTTGCAGACAGATAGGGGTATTAAATAGACAAGCCCTGGAATTTCTGTCATAATCGCTGCCACAGGCAACAAACAGGTCAACCTTAGAGGTAATTCTAATGGTTTGATTCTAGTTTGGCGATTGCTGGAAGTTTCCAGCTCCCATGTGGGTGAGGATCAGTCTTTTCTACAAAAAAGAAATAGAGGGTCATCACGGTCACGAGACTACCTTGTGTTAGAACTCGGCCAGCTGGGAAACAGGTGGGAACCAGGGAACCAGGTGGAAGGACCAGGAGAACTGGGTGGAAAGATTGGAACAGCTAAGAAGGGACTCAACACGAGGACTCTCAGAAGTTCCACTTTCTAAAGTTATGTAACATGTATTTATGTAACTAAACACCACCATTATCATTTATTCTTATCTTAGGGGCTCAGTTATCAAGCTGAAGTATCCCATTACCACCATACCATCATTATTGACTAAAAATATAAAGAACTAAAATGATTGTCTTGTCTTGTCTTGTCTTGTCTTGTCCACAATTGCCTCACAGCGTAGTGGGGAGTCGCAGTTTTCTATCCTGGGCCAGGTGTGTTGCATGTGTTGTTGTTAGTCCGTGTTGCCTCAGGATCTCTGATATATTGTCTATCCATCGTACTCTCGGTCTGCCTCTTGCTCTAGGGCAGTAGTGTTGTTCGTTGTATGCTCGTAGAGGCAGTTGGTCGGTTTGCATTCGCATCAAGTGGCCAAACCACTCGATTTGTTGCTTCTTTATGTATTGCAGGCATGGTGTGGTTCCTACAATTGATCTAATGTTCTTGTTCCGAACTCTGTCTCTCCTTGTGACATTGGCAGCCTTACGTAAGCATCTCATTTCGCACGTCGTGATCTTTTTCTCCTGTGCTCTTGTTAGGGACCAGGTTTGGCATTGGTAGCAGAGGGTTGGTATAAATATGCAATTTATCAGTTGTCGTTTTAGTGCCATAGTGATGCTTGGGTGTTTTAGCAGTGGGGAGAGTTGGTAAGTTACTGCGTTCGCCTTTTGACATCTTGCCTCAAGTTCCCTATCAATTCTTCCATCATCTGTGAAGATGCTCCACAAGTATTTAAATTGCTGCACTTGTTTGAGTTGTTCGTTGTTAACTTGAATAGTTAGTATATTAGGTGTTCTACTTATTTTCAGAATTTCTGTTTTGGTGATGCTGATCTTCATGTTATATTCGTTGCAGACTGTGTGTAGCGCATTTACGTGGATTTGAAGTTCTTTTTCGTTTTCATGAATTATGCTTTGGTCGTCTGCGAAAAGTATTTCGTTCAGTTGGGGATGTACTTCTTCAGGATCGGCGTGTATGTTTTCATTATAATGATCTCTTTCAACTAACTCTGTCTCATTGCTTGGTGTAGTTAACAGTTGGCTTATCATTACATGGTTTGCTGCTGTTGTTATTCTGTCCATGTATATATTGAATAGTAGTGGTGATAGTACACAACCCTGTCTTACTCCTGTTCTTAGTATAAATTCGTCTGTCACACCAACATTTGTTCTAACTACGCTTGAGCTTGTTTGGTACAGAGATCTGATGTTGTCTGCTACGTTATCAAAGTTTATGGTCTTATCCTGCATCAGTTTTTATAATTCCAAGTGTGTCTGTTCTTACATGTTTAATTAAAATGTTAAGATAGAATTACATTTGGTGGGGGCTCATTAAATAATAATAAAATTTCTTTACCAAGAGAAGGTCGACGGATTGGGTCAACTGCCCTGTCTAATGAATCATTCAAGATAATAATATATAGACATCTAAAACCCATTTCCTTCTCTTGTGGGTGCCAAGTTCAGCTAAAGTTAATTTAAATAACGAGCCAATATGGCTGTTTTCTTGGATATCCAGGACTTTGTCTGAGAGCAACATAGCCCGGATAATAGTTCAGTTAACCTGGTGGAGGGGATGTGTTGAGAGGAAAATTCCCTACTCAACATATAAAATTCAGTTAAACCCAAATCCAGGGAACCCACGACCGGAGACATCACACTAAAAATGTTGTAATCTCAAGGGAAGTGGGCCGTAACGTCACATCCATGTGGTGCATGCTGTAAAACTGAAACCATTCTGGCCCATCTGGAAGGTGGCAGGCACCAGTCTGGTCAAATTTGTTTTGGTTTGTTTGACCCACACCATGCAGTGGATCAAGCAAGCTGACAGTGAGGCCATTAATCACTGCTACACAAAAAAGAGTAAATGACGCTGTGGACATCAAATTAGCAATGCTACAGGACAGAGATTACCACAACCATCATTCAGTCCACCCGGGAAGCACAAGAAGACAAATACAATAAAAAAAAAACACTCTAGGCTGGTAACAGCATGATGACAAAAGATAGAATAAGAATTCTCCACCAACAAACAAAAAAAGGACGGAAAGAAAATCTATGTACATAACTTGTGTCTTTGAGCCAGAGAATTTAGAGCTGCATGGCTAATGCAGTTGCCACGGACTGTACAGGTTGGGATTTCATTTTTAAAGTATACTCTGGCGTATTGATTGAATTACTTTTTTATTAATATATCACAATTCACGGCGTCTGTGGCTTAGGCGTTGCAAGTCCGACTCGTGATTCCAAGGTACCGCGATCAAAACCCAATGCTGGCTGCGTGGATTTTTTTCATGGTATAGGGCGTCACAGGTCGACCCAGCCCAAAATGGGTACCGGGATGTAGGTCCTGAGAAAATAAAGACAGTCGGGGTAATGCTGACCATGTAACCCACCTTGTGCCGATTGGTCTGTAAAAATATGGGTGCCTAAAGGCATGAAAAGGGATGTTTACTTTACTTTATATTGCAATTCGGAGCCTTTTGGACATGGTTTACCTTGTTTAATTCGCACTAATTGACCAGGAAAATAGCATGTGTTTTTTTTCTGTCTGCTCCAGACTGCACTTACAGAGTCCGTATTGTCACAGGTGATCTTCCTTGTGCAGAGACTTCAGCAGAAGTAAACTTGATGATAATTGGTCACTGGGGAGATTCAGGGCAGCGTTACTTGACAAGAACTCTTGATAGTAGAGCTGCTTTTAGTCGAGGACAAGTAATGACAATTTTGTTTATCCTGTCAGTTGTAGCCAATGCTTGTCAAAATTTGTCTGTTGAACCCTGAATCTTGCAAAGGGGATTTTACCATTTCAGACTAGAAAACAGGGACACAAAAAAGTCCTATAAATCTGGGAGTTGACCCAAAAAAAAATTTAAAGGCAACCATTTTACTCAGGCTACTCATAAGGTTTTTTTTTTGTTTTTTTCATTTTTTTAAAATTTACTTATTTACATTATTTACATTTTTTTATTTACTCATTTACATTGTTTAAATTTTTGTAAGAAATATATGAAGGAAAGTCATCGGTAAACATAAACTTACTATAACCTGACAATTACTTTACATGCTTCCTCCCCATTAGTTATACTTACTTTATTCTGGCTGTTACTTTAACTCCTTGTGCACACATTAAACAGACTTACTAAATCCTGACAATTACTTTAACTGCTTATGTCCCCATCAATTATACTTACTTTTGCCTGGCTATTACTTTAACTCCTTGTGCACACATTAAACAGACTTACTAAATCCTGACAATTACTTTAACTGCTTATGTCCCCATCAATTATACTTACTTTTGCCTGGCTATTACTTTAACTCCTTGTGTACACATTAAACAGACTTACTAAATCCTGACAATTACTTTAACTGCTTATGTCCCCATTAATTATACTTACTTTATCCTGGCTGTTACTTTAACTCCTTGTGCACACATTAAACAGACTTACTAAATCCTGACAATTACTTTAACTGCTTATGTCCCCATCAATTATACTTACTTTTGCCTGGCTATTACTTTAACTCCTTGTGTACACATTAAACAGACTTACTAAATCCTGACAATTACTTTAACTGCTTATGTCCCCATCAATTATACTTACTTTTGCCTGGCTATTACTTTAACTCCTTGTGTACACATTAAACAGACTTACTAAATCCTGACAATTACTTTAACTGCTTATGTCCCCATCAATTATACTTACTTTTGCCTGGCTATTACTTTAACTCCTTGTGTACACATTAAACAGACTTACTAAATCCTGACAATTACTTTAACTGCTTATGTCCCATCAATTATACTTACTTTTGCCTGGCTATTACTTTAACTCCTTGTGTACACACTAGTCAAGCTAACTTTCTATATCCTGACATCCTAATGCATCCATGTTGCATTATCAGTTTATTATTAAATAAGTTGTGTAGGACATATATGTGTGTGTGTGTGGATGTGTGACATGTATATGGAAGATTTGTTTAGACATGTGTGTGTGTGTGGATGTGTGACATGTATATGGAAGATTTGTTTAGACATGTTTGTGTGTGGATGTGTGACATGTATATGGAAGATTTGTTTAGACATATGTGTGTGTGTGGATGTGTGACATATATATGGAAGATTTGTTTAGACATGTTTGTGTACATATGATTCTGAGTATGTATGAATGTGTGTATGAGTACTTGTTTAAGTTTCTGTGTGTGTGTGTGTGTCTGCCTGTGTGAGTGTCTTTATGTATGTCTGAATGTGTGTGTGTGTGTCTTTGATGTGTATGTATGTGTGTGTGAGTCTGTGTGTGTCTCTAGTGTTTATCTGCATTTGTGTATTTGGCTCATTGTGTCTCTGCGTGTGTGTTTGTCTGTATGTATATGTTTGAATGGGTGTCTGTGTATGTGTCTGCGTATGTGGGTGTCAGTGTGTATATGACTGTGTGTATTTGTGTATTTCTGTGTGTTTGTCTGTGTGTGTGTCTGCATGTGTGTGTGTTTGTGTTTGTGTGTGTGTCTGTGCATGTTTGTCTGTGTGTGTGTGTGTTTGTCTCTGTTTGTCTCTGTGTGTGTCTGTATGTGTGTGCAAGTGCATATGTGTCTATGTGTATGTGTTGGTGTATGTTTGTCTGTGTGCGTGCGTGTCTGTATGTAAGTCTATGTGTGTGTCTTTATATCTGTGTCTTTTTGTGTGTCTGTGTGTGTTTGTATGTGTAGGTGTCTATCTGTGTATGTGTCTGCATGTGTGTATGTCTGTGTGTACATGTCTGTGTGTATGTGTATATGTGCATGTTTCTATATGTAGTTATATGTGTGTCTGTGTGTGTGTGTCTGCTTGTGTCTGGGTGTATTTGTCTGGCTGTGTGTCTATGTGTATATGTGTCTGTGTGTGTGTCTGTATGTGTCTCTATGTGTCTCTGTGTGTATCTGTGTGTGTGTGTGTCCGTGGCTGTGTATTTGTGTGTGTCTGTGTGTGTGTCTGTTGGTGTGTCTCTGTGTGCATGTGTGTGTGTATGTATGTATGTATGTATGTATGTAATATAAGTGTGTATGTATGTGTTTGTGTGTTTGTGTGTGTGTGGGGGGGGGGGGTGTTGTGTGAATGTGTGTGTGCATATGAGTGTGCATATGAGTGTGTGTGTATTCATGTAGGTATGTAGCTATGTATGTAAATATGTGTAATTGAGTCGGTGGGCATGTGTATGTGGGTGTGTTTGTGTGCACACACGAGTGTGTGCATGCATTTTGCAACCCATGCTTTTGTATTTTTTCTTGAAATTCATAATATGCAAATAATTAAATGAACATAACATGTATTATTGATAAAATACAACTGCTGTGTGAAATATTGATGTTTGGAAGGGCCAAAAGTAAGACGGGCACCTGTGCCCAAGTTATGACCCTTTGAAAATAAAATTCATTCATTTGTTTTGACAATTACTTTACCTGCTTACGTCCCAATTAGTTATACTTTCTGTATCTTTGCTGTTACTTTAACTCCTTGTGTCCCCATTAGTTATACTTTCATTATCCTGGCTGTTACTTTAACTCCTTTGTTCCAATTAGTTATACTTTCTTTATCCTGGCTGTTACTTAAACTCCCTTGTTTCAATTAGTTATACTTTCTTTATCCTAGCTGTTACTTAAACTCCTTGTGGCCTCATTAGTTATACTTTCATTATCCTAGCTGTTAATTTAACTCCTTGTTTTCCCATTAGTTATACTTTCTTTATCCTGGCTGTTACTTTAACTCCCTTGTTCCAATTAGTTATACTTTCTTTATCCTAGCTGTTACTTAAACTCCTTGTGTCCTCATTAGTTATACTTTCATTATCCTGGCTGTTACTTTAACTCCTTTGTTCCAATTAGTTAAACTTTCTTTATCCTGGCTGTTACTTAAACTCCTTGTGTCCTCATTAGTTATACTTTCTTTATCCCGGCTGTTACTTTAACTCTTTGTGTTCCCATTAGTTATACTTTCTTTATCCTGGCTGTTACTTCAACTCCTTTGTTCCAATTAGCTATACTTTCGTTATCCTGGCTGTTACTTCAACTCCTTCTGTCCCCATTAGTTACACTATTTTACTTGTGCTAGCCCTTATTTCAACTCCTCATGCCCCTGTAAGTTATATGGCGTACTCTGTTTCTTCAACCTCTTGTGTCTCATGGAATTAATATTTTAACGCCTTCGAACCCAAATATTTTGCAACAACTTCTAGGAATGAAATGAGATCTTTCAGTGAGCTGTGGTACCTCAGTGGAGTCAGATCTTTCAGTGAGCTGTGGTACCTCAGTGGAGTCAGATCTTTCAGTGAGCTGTGGTACCTCAGTGGAGTCAGATCTTTCAGTGAGCTGTGGTACCTCAGTGGAGTCAGATCTTTCAGTGAGCTGTGGTACCTCAGTGGAGTCAGATCTTTCAGTAAGCTGTGGTACCTCAGTGGAGTTAGATCTTTCAGTGAGCTGTGGTACCTCAGTGGAGTTAGATCTTTCAGTGAGCTGTGGTACCTCAGTGGAGTCAGATCTTTCAGTGAGCTGTGGTACCTCAGTGGAGTCAGATCTTTCAGTGAGCTGTGGTACCTCAGTGGAGTTAGATCTTTCAGTGAGCTGTGGTACCTCAGTGGCTAGATGCTTGTCTGCCAGCCAGAAAGTCTTAAGTTTAAATCTGCATCAAAACAGTTTTCTGTAACTGACTAATGCTATAATAAAGTTAAACCAGCCTGAAATGAGTCCTGTGAAATTTCCAAGGAAGTAAAGGGGACTGGCTTGAAATCAGTGCCAAGTGGTCTATAAAAATACAGCTCCAAAACTAATGTACCAGTGACATATAACAAGTCCTTTACTTTACTTGTTAACACCTTTAATACCAAAAACTGTATTAACACCTTTTACTTTTAAACTTTTTATTTCTCAGATACTTTTTCCTAATTTTTAACTGTTTTTATGCAGAGAACGTAAATTATATGCCTTGTTGTTTTGTGTTTACATTTTAATTAACATCATAAGTCCTAAATTTAGTTTACTTTGTACTCAGACTGATGAGTTTGAGCTGAAACTTCTCAGTTTGGGCAAGATTTCCAAAATTCTGCTGGGACACAATGAATATGGACGAGGTCATGGTTGGTTTTGTCAGCAAGTGTCAATTACTGATACTGACCAACGTGGCAACAAGACAGAGACTGTCTTTGCAGTTAACAGGTAACTGTCTTCTGTCATTATCATCATCATCCTGTTGTGCTGTTCATATAACACAGAGGGTTCATTGTCTATTTCTTTAGTCCTTTCTATTCTGTACAGTCTGTTTGATATCATAGAGGGAATCCATTCCAGCACCTTTGGTCTCTCTCTTCAACATTTGTCTTAGGGTTTCTTGTTGATGTCCTCATTTCCCAATTCCATGTGTTTCCTTTTTTTTCAGTGCCTGTTTTGTCTCATCTTTCTTTGTGTTTACCAGCTGTAAACTTGAGTGGAATGTTCTGGCTGTTCATCCACTTCTGAACTTTGGTCTTGCTCCAGATCTTGAAGTCCCTAGGTTGAAAGACATGAAGTCGACGTGAGAGGGAGAAAACACGAGTCTGTGTGAGTTGACTTGGGAACATGAGATAACTGGGGGAATAGCTGACTAGCGGGTCACTCTGGGACGGGTCCCCAGGGCGAGAAGAAGTGAAAGTTTCCCCAGAGCTGGAAGGAGTGGAAATCGATTGTCTGCATCAAAAGCTATGTTGAAAGACAGCTGAGAGAAAGACAACTGATGTATCCTGCTGACTCCTAATTGGGCTGATTGTGTGCATGTGAATGTTGATGGTCCAAAGCCTGGCTGTATCTTCAAAGCGTGAACACGTGGGACCTGGATGGATAAAGTGTTAGGCCGTAAATTGTCAGTAGAATATTCGACTGGTAAACTGATTCTAGTATCTTGTGTGTTATCACCAATAAACATGAAACTGTTTTCAACTCTCATTGACTGTATTGTGGAGAAGTGGGGCAGTTAATTCTGGAAGAAGATCTGTCTTATCTGATCTGTGAACTTGACCACTAGAAAACAGCCAGTGTCAGTACTACCAATGAGATCCAGTACAAAGAGACATGGGAGTCACTGTGATGGAGCAGCTAGATGCTTGCCTGTGGATCGGAAGGTCGTAGGTTCACTCCTTGGCGGAGCCTGACTTTTTTTCTTCAAAAATGACCTTGGCTTCTAGGTCGACCCAGCCTTCACTGGGTATTGGGTGCAGTCCTGCGAAGTAAAGGTGGCTAGTATGATGCTGACTACATCATCCATCTTGTGATGATTGGTCTATAAGATATAGATCTAGCCCTATATGCCCTATACGCCTAAAGGCGTGGAAAAGGGTCCTTTACTTTACTTAACTTACTACTTTACCACAAAGAGACATATTACAGTGAATGACAAGAATACTGTTGAAATCTTTTTCCATGTGTGTTCTGGGACTCGCACTACAGGAAAAATAAGAATAGACTCACTGTCTCACCAACAAGCATGTCATAAGAGTCTACTAATTGGGGGCTTCCTTTAAAGAAGTCAGAGTATATCTGCCCGAGAGGCAAGGAACAACTAATTGCACACAAATAAGCCAGTAAAATGGATGTACATTCAAAACTCAGGAGCTGGCATGATGCCAACTCCAAATGGACAAAACACCAGGACTTTCCACAAGAGCTTACAGCCAGTGAACAAAGAAAAAGGAGATGAAGAAAGATATTATAAAGTAACAGATGAAATATTTCTGCCACACTGAAAGATATCATCATCATCATCATCATCATCATCATCATCATCATCATCATCATCATGGGTGATGTCCTGGTGGGGTACAACAAGCAAGCAAGCAGTAAACAGGCTCTGGACTCATCTTCAGACATCAGTCCATGTATTATACTTCGGCATATATTCTTCTGTCAACAAATGTTCTATTTCCCTTATGCACAAGGTCAGTGGAAGCTTTCATCCATTGATTCCATTCATCCCTGCTATGCACATGGTCACGTTGCCAGATACACTTCACTATAGGCTGCTTGAGTAAAATCACCTTGCTGATACACATATATTCATAGGAATAAACTCCACAGGGGAGCATGTACAGCAGGGGTCTACCAATCATCAGTAGAAGTAATCTCTCGTTGACAAATGTTTCGGCCCACGAGCTCCTAGATATAATTACACCTGCAACTTGTTCAAGTCATGGAATTATCCCATGAGTTTTCCTAATATCTCTCAGTTATTCTCATGCTGCATAATCATCACACACTTTTTTTTTTAAATATCCAGAAACCATGAGTTCTTAACCCTTTGGCTTGGTACTGTGGATATCGCAACCCTTTGGCCTTAATTTCCTGATAGAATACCGTAAATCGGGGAAAAATGTGGCTTTTCTGCCTACCCCCGGACCACAAGGAGTTTGTCTTTTAGTCGCCACACAGTCAGGTTTAACCAACTGAGCTAGCGAGCCAGGCGAATCATCATACTAAACCTCCTGTTGTATTTTCTTACCTGTGGTATTTTTGACATTATTTGCACTAATTGAGTGTTTGCTTAAATGCCATAAATTATATCACACAAGCCATTTAGTATATAAAAGCAATAATGGAGGGAAAAGTTGAAATCAGGCAAGAGCAAGTGAGAGGTAGACAGCAATATAAGTGGGAGGAAAATATCAAGAGGTGGAATAAAAGCAGTCTAAGAGAGTTTAAAACTGCCATTTCTTTATCCTTTCCTACCTTTAGTAAATTGATATTGCTTCATTTTCAGATGGTTGGATACTGGGGTTGATGATCGACAAACAACAGGTGAATTTTCTGCTACTGGAACAGTATCACTGAAAGAAGTTATCAGTTCAAAGAAAAGAATGTCTTCAAGTAAGTTTTACTGTTTGTACAAAATACTTTCATTCTGAATCTTATCTCTTGAACAAGCCAGGTTTAACAATAAAATTTCCTTTTCACCTAAAACAGTTTTCATGCATTTCTCTTTATCACTGACATTCTGTGACTAGTTTTAGTAAAATTTAATTTTTAGTGTGTATGTATGTATTTTTTACATTTATCTCAACAACTATTTTTTTATTATTATCAACTCTCCAGTGTATTTGACCTTTTTTTTCCCCATTGAATACAACTGGTTATTTTTTTTTTTAATTCTCAACTCTCCAGTGTATTTGACCTTTTTTGTTTCCATTGAATACAACTGTTTTTTTTTATTCTCTACTTTCCAGGGTATTTGACCTTTTTTTTGTTTCCATTAAATACAACTTTTTTTAAAAATTCTTAACTTATCAGTGTATTTGACCTTTTTTGTTTCCATTGAATACCATTTTTTCCTCACATTTTGCTTTTCTAACTGCTTGTTCATTGTCCAAGTTTCTAAGGATATCTGTTTCTTCTTCTTCATGTTCACCAGCTGTAAACTCTTGCAGAAAGTTCTGGTTATTCATCCACTTCTGGACTTCAGTCGTGTTCCAGAACCTGAGTTTAGCATGTGCATCCATTTTACAAATCTTACTCATTTGTAGACTGCTGGTTCCTTGCCTTTTAGGCAGATGCAATTTGACTTCGAAGAAAGTTCTCAATTAGTCAACTCTTAGAACATGTTTTTGGGGAGGCAGTGGGTCTATTCTTGTTTTCCCCACAATAGGGCCACGGAACCCACACGGGGATACAGGATATAATAGCTTTGACTATAACTAATATATGATATTTCGGCTATATTCCGAATAATGGACACATATTATGGCGGCCCTAAAGATACCCTAACAGGGCCTCAGTTGCATGTCAATTGTGCACTTCCGGCGACTTAATTTAGGGTCTACTGCCACCACCGAGAGTATTCCCCCACGCCCCGTGAGCGGCGTGGATTTCAGCTAAACTTCTTCTTCTTCGCGTTCACCAGCTGTAAACTCTGCTCGTCCACTACTGAAATGCAGTCCTGCTCCAGAACCTGAGTGTTGCGTGTGCATCAGTTTTACAGATCTCATTCTCTTGAATACAGACTGTTGGTTCCTTGCCTCTCCGGCAGATGCACTCCGACTTCAAAGGCAGCTCCCCAATAAGTCGACTCTTTTACGACATGCTTTTGGGGAGGCAGTGGGTCTATTCTTGTTTTCCCCACAATGGGGCCCCAGAACCCACATGGGGGTGAGCTAAACTAGATGGCTGGGACTCACGAGCAGCAGCTTCCGCATCTCCTGCAGCTTTGCTGGTGAGTCCCAGCCATCTAGTTTAGCCCCAATCCACGCTGTGTGAGTGGCGTTGGGGATACTCTTGCGGTGGCGGTAGTCGCCAGAAGTTCACAAATTAAGTCGCCAGAGGTTCCCAATTTACATGTGACTGAAGCCTTGTTTTTGGCCCCCATAATATGTGCCCGTTATTCAGAGGATAGCCAATATTTCTTATTGTGAGCATGATGTTTACTCTCTAGACGGTAATAACTTCCCCATGTTGTTGAAAATAATTGTGGCCTTTGCTTTTAATGACAGTTAAATAGATGCCAGTGAAATTATTGTTTCATGTGTAAATATCTCTGCAGATGGTATATGGTCATGCTTCATCAAAATAGCTGGAATGGATAAAGTGAATATTAGTGAAATAATCCATCAAGCCTCACCCAAACTGTCTCTGACTGTGTATGGCAGTAAAGGCATTGCAGGACCATTGATACTTGAGGACAGAAAGAATGGAAGCATTATTCCTGGACAGACATGTTCATTTAAGGTAAAGAAATATTGTTTTATTGTTTAGATTCTCCTTGACCAATTTACATGTATAGGGTCGATTTATTAAGTTGAGTCAAAAACTGAAATTATAGAACTTTGGACATTCCCATATGCACTCTGCCCCCTTTTCAGTGGCCAGTGCAGAATTCTAATACAGCTGGTACCCATAGCAGTCTGTGTATCTTGCTTTTCCTGTGAGTGTTGAGTGCCGGATGGTTCCCCTGGCCACTTTCTGCTGCGCCATTCTCTCAACACTGTGATGATCTGTTTGTGCTGCCACATTGTTCAGTGTTGAGTGTCGGACAGATTCCCTGGCCACTTCCTGCTGTGCCATTTTCTCAACACTGTGATGATCTGTTTGTGCTACCACATTGTTCAGTGTTGAGTGCCGGATGGTTCCTCTGGCCACTTTGTGTTGAGTGCCGGACAGATTCCCTAGCCACTTCCTGCTGTGCCATTTTCTCAACACTGTGATGATCTGTTTGTGCTACCACATTGTTCAGTGTTGAGTGCCGGACAGATTCCCTGGCCACTTCCTGCTGCAGCCACTTCCTGCTGCACCAATTTCTCAACACTGTGATGTTCTGTTTGTGCTACCACATTGTTCAGTGTTGAGTGCCGGACAGATTCCCTGGCCACTTCCTGTTGCATCCACTTCCTGCTGCACCAATCTCTCAACACTGTGATGTTCTGTTTGTGCTACCACATTGTTTAGTGTTGAGTGCCGGACAGATCCCCTGGCCACTGCCTGCTGCACCATTCTCTCAACACTGTGATGTTCTGTTTGTGCCACCACATTGTTCAGTGTTGAGTGCCGGACAGATTCCCTGGCCACTTCCTGCTGCGCCATTCTCTAAACACTGATGATCTGTTTGTGCCACCACATTGTTCAGTGTTGAGTGCCGGACAGATTCCCTGGCCACATCCTGTTGCACCATTCTCTCAACACTGTGATGTTCTGTTTGTGCAACCACATTGTTCAGTGTTGAGTGCCGGACAGATCCCCTGGCCACTGCCTGCTGCACCATTCTCTCAACACTGTGATGTTCTGTTTGTGCCACCACATTGTTCAGTGTTGAGTGCCGGACAGATTCCCTGGCCACTTCCTGCTGCGCCATTCTCTAAACACTGATGATCTGTTTGTGCTACCACATTGTTCACTGACTCCCAAAGGGCACATTTATTATGTAAAAGTAAATGGATCTTTTTCACATCTTGAGGCATGTTATGTATCTGGTACCAACCACGTATCTTTATAGCTCAGTCAGGAAGTATGTAGTCAGTATAGGTAATCTTCCGTGGTGAGACAAATAGTGCAACAATGGGCTATTTGGTCTAAATATTTCAATTGAAAGGATTCATTTTTATGCTTCATTTTACATTGATATAAAACTCTGTTGCAGTGCATCTCAAAAGATACAATACATTGTGCCACACTCCTAATTGTGCAATGGATTGCTGGAGGCCTCAAATGATGAAAGTTTAAATCTTATCTTACTCTCAGGGACTCAGAATTGGGGATGTTGGTGACTTCATCAAGCTGAGAGTGAGTTATGGCACTAATGATGAAACAACAACAACTTGGGCAATTGAAAAGGTAAGATATGAGGTTGTTTATCTCAAAGCCCTGGGACATGTAGTCAGGCATGCATTTAGCATACATCTCTGACAAATTCTTTTTCTTCTTCACACTCACCAACTGTGAACTACGGCAGAAAGTTCTACTTTTTTATCCATTCCTGGGCTTGCTTTACAACTTGAGTTTTGCGGGCACATCTATTTTATTAATCTGTTGGTTTCTTGCCTCTCATGCAGATGCACTCTGATTTGAAGGAAATTCTAATTAGTCGACTTTTTCTACATGCTTGTTAGGAGGGCACTGAGTCAGTCCTCCCCCCCCCCAAACACACACACACAAGGGGGCCCTAGAACTCACACACATGCGGAATCTCTGACAGATCAACATGATTGTCTTCCTGGGGATTAGAACCAAGATCTCTAGATTTGGAGGACAGGTATCTTGGCGCCTTCAACTTCAGACATTGTTCAATTCATGATAGGCTTTTTCCTGAGAAGCCAAAATTCATGCATAGATTTCCATCTCTTTTCACATTTGGCAAGAGCTTTTAAGATAAAAACTGGATTCTTGATGGTAATCTTCAGTGTGTATTTGATCTCTTTGAAAGTATCACTATTGATTCTTCATGATGATTATTTGATCTCTTTGAAAGTATCACTATTGATTGTTCATGATGATTATTTCTCCCTGCAAACTGCTGTGAATCTTTCCGGAAGGAAAAGAAGGGTTAACTGCTCAGAAAGCTTCTTTCCTATAAGGATAACAATAACTGTATGGTAATTTCAACAATCTTAATGTCTACTAAATAATTTATATCAGATTTGATACACTTTTTTAGATGAAAATAAAGACAAATTTTGAAGAGATTCAGACTACAAAGACTTGTTATTTGAAACTAAGGTTTGAGCTGTGTTTGCATAATGTGTAAGAGGAAGTCTCTGGGGCTTATACAAATCGTGTCTGCTGCAGAAACATTAAGCATCCATGTGCTCTGACATTTTAAGGAAAAGAAAGGAAGCATATCCGAGCAGTGGTAGCCAGTTTTTTTTAAGGTTTTAGGCTGCTTTTATTTCATAAATAACTGGTGGTCTATTTTAAGACTAAAGAGACTAAAAAAGAGGACTTAGCATAAAATGGGATAGAAAGTAAAACTTTTGTTGGCTATCTCTCATAGCTTGGTGACTGACTAGTTGACCGAAGTCAATGCTACTCCCGGTGTTACTGAGGAATTGTCAGACAAAAACTAGACAAATGTCAGTTGGAGACAGAATTTGCATAGTTACTCCAGAGAAACAATACAGTGGTAAAATTGAAAGAGATAATAAACATAGTTTTAAAATAGCATTAATAAAACTGCACAACATAAATATATCAGATATGGAGTTTTAATCTGAAAGTTGAAGAAAAATTACAATTTTTTTGTTTTTCTGAAATTTTGTTCTTTCAGTTATTGAATCATTTGTTCTTCTTTAGCAATATCTTTGTGTATGATTATCAGCATTTATATTATCCTGAATGACATTTACAAAAATTAACAATAGTTATATATTATTAGTGCTTATAGCACTAGCTATCAGTACGTTTACATATGGCTATAAAATGAGGACCTTATCTCTTTGAGTTCCAGAGGGTTTAGCATCAGAGGCCCAATGAATGGTAATTCAGTTTTGAAATGTCACAAGTGGTACACATTCAATAGAGCATACTAATTCAGCTGCAGCGCAACATACACATAAACATCAAAGTGACCATGGATTATTGGGTAATAGTATTATAATACTGCTCAACAAATAAAATTGTTAGTAGTCAATTATTATTAAATAAACATATTGTATGTTTAAAAAAATTAGTAAAATTATATTTTTTTTTCACTTACCACCATTAAATTTAAGGATAATTCAATAAAATACATCCAAAATGGTTCACAAGTGAACATAAACCACTCAGTAATCTATGAATGAAATATAAACACAATCTGTCCATCAGATCTCGTTCCATAGAAACTTTTAGAACATAATAACAGAGCATCAGTTACTTAGTAACTGAGCAAAGTTCACAAGCATGCTACGTTTTATGTTTTTAACCATGTTTTCAAATAAGCTAATGGTCAGCATGTGTGAAGTCAAACACAGAGAACAGGAAATACCATTAAAAACTGCTGGTTTGTGGTGTTATACTGGCCAGCGGTTAAATTAAAAACCAGTACACGTCACATGCTGGTTAACTACCTGGGTAGTAACTTATTAGCATTCAATGCATTCCTTGGGACTCAAAGTGTTAACATCTGAACTTGAAAAGAAAATGCAAGCATTGTAAATGAGATCTTTTCTAACAATCCTTGGAATGTCGTACAGAGACAATATCACAGATGTTGATTGGTTATTATGGATTAGAAAGGATTATCATCACAGTACTCCGTACGGATCCATAGGTGCTGTGATCTCCTCCTCAAAAGCTCCACAAGTGAAAAACTAATGATGACACCTGTTCTGTGTTGGTTAGTGAAACGTCTTGTTCCCTTAGTGAAATATTTATTTCTTGCAGCTCCAGGCTGCACCCCCATGTCCATCAGTCTAGACAGGGACACCGAGCCATGTCCTTTGGCGTGCTCCTCGGTACGGTAAGTGCAGCGCATGGCATTGATAACATCACTTCTGTGCAGTACTAGGCTAGCCATAGCAACCGCAGTGTCAGCAAGATAGCCTGCACGCTCATTCCTTTGAACATCACAGATGTTGATGTTTGCCCTATCATACTTGAAATTTTTGTCAGTTATGAATCTCTTTTAACGCAGTGATAGTATGGATATGTAAAGATCTATCGCCTCTACTTAATGATACTACTACAGGGCTCAGCAGAAGTAAAGAGGAGAAGTGTTAGACCAAGAAAGATCTAGATCACAGAATTTGGTTGAATGAACGAGCCTCAGAATGCAAATTTCAGGTCAATTGCATCTGACCAACAGAAGTGGAGAGAACTGGTGACTCAATGACGTGTTGTATTATGAGACTATTATGAGACAATGATGATGTATTATTAGGAAACGGTTGTTGAATTTTCATCTTGATCAGGTTCTGCTTGAAGACAGTGTATCCAGTGAAAAGCTTTGGTTTGACTTCAACAGATACATTGGAGAAGTGTCAACAGAATTTAGCAAAGAGTTGCCTGTCATAAGGCCTGCTGTGGTAGTACCTCCATGTATGGTTACACTTGTATTTGCATACTTGTTTTTTTATTGTTTCATTATATACATGAAGGTTGTAGTTATTTTAAATATTTCCACATCTCTTCTTATCTTTCAGATTCAGGTGTAGAACCTGGCAATTCGTAGACATCATAGAATTACAAAGAATTGCCTGTTTACCTTCTTATTCTTCTTCTTAGTATTCACCAACTCTAAACTCTCGTGGAACGCCTGCTTGACGGTCCATTTCTGGATTTCGGTCTTGTTCTAGAACTTGAGTCTTAAGTGCAAATCCATTTTATATATTTATTTTACAGATCTGGTCCATTTGTATTCTTTTTTCTTTTTCTTCGCGTTCACCAGCTGTAAACTCCAGCGGAAAGTTCATCCACTTCAGCACTTTGGTCTTGGTACAAAACCTGTGTTTTGTGTGCACACTCATTTCACAGATGCAGACTGTTGGTTCCTCGCCTGTCAGGCAGGTGCACTCTAACTTCAAAAAGAAACTTCCTTAATTAGTCAAGTGGGTCTATTGTTTTCCCCCCCCCCCCCCCTCCAACATGTGGCCCTGGAACCTAAACAGGGATTTACTTCATCTTGAGTAAATAACACAATAGGGAAGCTGTTCTAGGATGACAACACAGAGAAGAAGAGAAGTAGGGAAGCTGTTCTAGGATGACAACACAGAGAAGAAGAGAAGTAGGAAAGCTGTTCTAGGATGACAACACAGAGAAGAAGAGAAGTAGGAAAGCTGTTCTAGGATGACAACACAGAGAAGAAGAGAAGTAGGGAAGCTGTTCTAGGATGACAACACAGAGAAGAAGAGAAGTAGGGAAGCTGTTCTAGGATGACAACACAGAGAAGAAGAGAAGTAGGGAAGCTGTTCTAGGATGACAACACAGAGAAGAAGAGAAGTAGGAAAGCTGTTCTAGGATGACAACACAGAGAAGAAGAGAAGTAGGGAAGCTGTTCTAGGATGACAACACAGAGAAGAAGAGAAGTAGGGAAGCTGTTCTAGGATGACAACACAGAGAAGAAGAGAAGTAGGGAAGCTGTTCTAGGATGACAACACAGAGAAGAAGAGAAGTAGGAAAGCTGTTCTAGGATGACAACACAGAGAAGAAGAGAAGTAGGGAAGCTGTTCTAGGATGACAACACAGAGAAGAAGAGAAGTAGGGAAGCTGTTCTAGGATGACAACACAGAGAAGAAGAGAAGTAGGGAAGCTGTTCTAGGATGACAACACAGAGAAGAAGAGAAGTAGGGAAGCTGTTCTAGGATGACAACACAGAGAAGAAGAGAAGTAGGGAAGCTGTTCTAGGATGACAACACAGAGAAGAAGAGAAGTAGGGAAGCTGTTCTAGGATGACAACACAGAGAAGAAGAGAAGTAGGGAAGCTGTTCTAGGATGACAACACAGAGAAGAAGAGAAGTAGGGAAGCTGTTCTAGGATGACAACACAGAGAAGAAGAGAAGTAGGGAAGCTGTTCTAGGATGACAACACAGAGAAGAAGAGAAGTAGGAAAGCTGTTCTAGGATGACAACACAGAGAAGAAGAGAAGTAGGGAAGCTGTTCTAGGATGACACAGAGAAGAAGAGAAGTAGGGAAGCTGTTCTAGGATGACCACACAGAGAAGAAGAGAAGTAGGGAAGCTGTTCTAGGATGACACAGAGAAGAAGAGAAGTAGGGAAGCTGTTCTAGGATGACCACACAGAGAAGAAGAGAAGTAGGGAAGCTGTTCTAGGATGACCACACAGAGAAGAAGAGTAGGGAAGCTGTTCTAGGATGACAACACAGAGAAGAAGAGAAGTAGGGAAGCTGTTCTAGGATGACCACACAGAGGAGAAGAGAAGTAGGGAAGCTGTTCTAGGATGACAACACAGAGAAGAAGAGAAGTAGGGAAGCTGTTCTAGAATGACCACACAGAGGAGAAGAGAAGTAGGAAAGCTGTTCTAGGATGACAACACAGAGAAGAAGAGAAGTAGGGAAGCTGTTCTAGGATGACAACACAGAGAAGAAGAGAAGTAGGGAAGCTGTTCTAGGATGACAACACAGAGAAGAAGAGAAGTAGGAAAGCTGTTCTAGGATGACAACACAGAGAAGAAGAGAAGTAGGGAAGCTGTTCTAGGATGACACAGAGAAGAAGAGAAGTAGGGAAGCTGTTCTAGGATGACCACACAGAGAAGAAGAGAAGTAGGGAAGCTGTTCTAGGATGACCACACAGAGAAGAAGAGAAGTAGGGAAGCTGTTCTAGGATGACAACACAGAGAAGAAGAGAAGTAGGGAAGCTGTTCTAGGATGACCACACAGAGGAGAAGAGAAGTAGGGAAGCTGTTCTAGGATGACAACACAGAGAAGAAGAGAAGTAGGGAAGCTGTTCTAGAATGACCACACAGAGGAGAAGAGAAGTAGGAAAGCTGTTCTAGGATGACAACACAGAGAAGAAGAGAAGTAGGGAAGCTGTTCTAGGATGACAACACAGAGGAGAAGAGAAGTAGGGAAGCTGTTCTAGGATGACACAGAGGAGAAGAGAAGTAGGGAAGCTGTTCTAGGATGACACAGAGGAGAAGAGAAGTAGGGAAGCTGTTCTAGGATGACAACACAGAGGAGAAGAGAAGTAGGAAAACTGTTCTAGGATGACAACACAGAGGAGAAGAGAAGTAGGGAAGCTGTTCTAGGATGACAACACAGAGAAGAAGAGAAGTAGGGAAGCTGTTCTAGAATGACCACACAGAGGAGAAGAGAAGTAGGAAAACTGTTCTAGGATGACAACATAGAGGAGAAGAGAAGTAGAGAAGTAGGAAAACTGTTCTAGGATGACCACACAGAGAAGAAGAGAAGTAGGGAAGCTGTTCTAGGATGACCACACAGAGAAGAAGAGAAGAAGAGAAGTAGGAAAACTGTTCTAGGATGACAACATAGAGGAGAAGAGAAGTAGGGAAGCTGTTCTAGGAAGACCACATAAAGGAGAAGAGAAGTAGGGAAGCTGTTCTAGGATGACCACACAGAGAAGAAGAGAAGAAGAGAAGAAGAGAAGTAGGAAAACTGTTCTAGGATGACAACATAGAGGAGAAGAGAAGTAGGGAAGCTGTTCTAGGATGACCACACAGAGAAGAAGAGAAGTAGGGAAGCTGTTCTAGGATGACCACACAGAGAAGAAGAGAAGTAGGGAAGCTGTTCTAGGATGACCACACAGAGAAGAAGAGAAGAAGAGAAGTAGGAAAACTGTTCTAGGATGACCACACAGAGGAGAAGAGAAGTAGGGAAGCTGTTCTAGGATGACCACACAGAGAAGAAGAGAAGAAGAGAAGTAGGAAAACTGTTCTAGGATGACCACACAGAGGAGAAGAGAAGTAGGGAAGCTGTTCTAGGATGACCACACAGAGAAGAAGAGAAGAAGAGAAGTAGGAAAACTGTTCTAGGATGACCACACAGAGGAGAAGAGAAGTAGGGAAGCTGTTCTAGGATGACCACACAGAGAAGAAGAGAAGAAGAGAAGTAGGAAAACTGTTCTAGGATGACCACACAGAGGAGAAGAGAAGTAGGGAAGCTGTTCTAGGATGACCACACAGAGAAGAAGAGAAGAAGAGAAGTAGGAAAACTGTTCTAGGATGACCACACAGAGGAGAAGAGAAGTAGGGAAGCTGTTGTAGGATGACCACACAGAGAAGAAGAGAAGAAGAGAAGTAGGAAAACTGTTCTAGGATGACCACACAGAGGAGAAGAGAAGTAGGGAAGCTGTTCTAGGATGACCACACAGAGAAGAAGAGAAGAAGAGAAGTAGGAAAACTGTTCTAGGATGACCACACAGAGGAGAAGAGAAGTAGGAAAGCTGTTCTAGGATGACCACACAGAGAAGAAGAGAAGAAGAGAAGTAGGAAAACTGTTCTAGGATGACCACACAGAGGAGAAGAGAAGTAGGGAAGCTGTTCTAGGATGACCACACAGAGAAGAAGAGAAGTAGGGAAGCTGTTCTAGGATGACCACACAGAGAAGAAGAGAAGTAGGGAAGCTGTTCTAGGATGACCACACAGAGAAGAAGAGAAGTAGGGAAGCTGTTCTAGGATGACCACACAGAGAAGAAGAGAAGTAGGGAAGCTGTTCTAGGATGACCACACAGAGGAGAAGAGAAGTAGGGAAGCTGTTCTAGGATGACCACACAGAGGAGAAGAGAAGTAGGGAAGCTGTTCTAGGATGACCACACAGAGGAGAAGAGAAGTAGGGAAGCTGTTCTAGAATGACCACACAGAGAAGAAGAGAAGAAGAGAAGTAGGAAAACTGTTCTAGGATGACCACACAGAGGAGAAGAGAAGTAGGGAAGCTGTTCTAGGATGACCACACAGAGAAGAAGAGAAGAAGAGAAGTAGGAAAACTGTTCTAGAATGACCACACAGAGGAGAAGAGAAGTAGGGAAGCTGTTCTAGGATGACCACACAGAGAAGAAGAGAAGAAGAGAAGTAGGAAAACTGTTCTAGGATGACCACACAGAGGAGAAGAGAAGTAGGGAAGCTGTTCTAGGATGACCACACAGAGAAGAAGAGAAGAAGAGAAGTAGGAAAACTGTTCTAGGATGACCACACAGAGGAGAAGAGAAGTAGGGAAGCTGTTCTAGGATGACCACACAGAGAAGAAGAGAAGAAGAGAAGTAGGAAAACTGTTCTAGGATGACCACACAGAGGAGAAGAGAAGTAGGGAAGCTGTTCTAGGATGACCACACAGAGAAGAAGAGAAGAAGAGAAGTAGGAAAAACTGTTCTAGGATGACCACACAGAGGAGAAGAGAAGTAGGGAAGCTGTTCTAGGATGACCACATAGAGAAGAAGAGAAGTAGGGAAGCTGTTCTAGGATGACCACACAGAGAAGAAGAGAAGTAGGGAAGCTGTTCTAGGATGACCACACAGAGAAGAAGAGAAGTAGGGAAGCTGTTCTAGGATGACCACACAGAGAAGAAGAGAAGTAGGGAAGCTGTTCTAGGATGACCACACAGAGGAGAAGAGAAGTAGGGAAGCTGTTCTA